TTTAGCACCTTCCATATTTAATACTGATGATATTCAAGTTCAAGGTTAGTTTTCATACCAATATTATCTCATTTAACACGTCTCTGTCGATTACTGATATACATTAATGATCCAAATACATATTACATCGTAATCCCAAACCATGTTACATGGATGTTACACTACAATTATTATTTAGTTGTCAGGGATATCCTTTTTGAACAAAAAAACAACACAGCCTATCTCATGATTAGTATTAATATGTCCAAGCCTAAGTTTAGATGTTTATAGACCAGACCAATATACTTAGGATTGACCTACAATATTTGCATCAGGGGGCAATTCGCTGTGCAGAGTTGCGTCCCTTGGGCACACCAGAAACCTATTATTGTGGGTTCGAATCCTGGTTCGACCCAATTAATGTTTCTAGGTTTGTCAGCACCATACCCGTGCTTGTGGGTTTCATCGAAGTGGTAAACTCTAAGACCTGCATCACTTCGGGCTTTCCTCCCACATTAAGCTGACGCGCCGCGATATAACTGGAATACTGTTAAAGCGGCGTTAAATCCAACTCACTCACTCACTCAATATTTGCATCATCAGCATCAGGTCAAAGTTTTAGTATTTACGCAATGCAAGAATACTCGTAACATACAGATCATAAACAGCCCTATTACTTCATTGAAAAAACAATATTATGCAAGCGTATAAAGTTAACAGTTTAATCTAATGACTCAGTGGAAATTATGTTCATCATTACTGACCCCTCCATTAACTGAGGCAGTTATTTCGGTAAGGCGATATTGAAAGTAATTACGATGCATTGTCATACGCTGGTGGCTGGGCTGACTGCGTTATGCATGGAGCTACATTTAGATGTTGTGCGAAGAATTGGTCATGCTTGTTTCTCCAAGCCGAGATGTTGTACAATTCTGCATTAGATTACCAAGGATCTCTGATTTAAAGGAGCAGGCTCTCCTCTTCTGAGCTTTGCTTCCCAGCTGTCGCGTTGAGTCATTTTGGCCCAAGATATTAATTCTAACAGCGTTCCATACAACTATTGATTGGGGAGCAGTCTGCGTGATTCAGGTCTTCTGCCATAGGGGGCATATTAGTCAACTATGTAAATATCGTGATAAGAGGGATTCAAAATGATACACGTTACAATCGGTTCTTGGACTTAGAGGCCGCCAGTGCAGTTAGAAGGAACGAGATAAGGATGTTTTCTACAACACAGGCAGAACCTGGTTTAAGGTATAGTTACATTGCATTGTCTGTGAAAATACAGTATAGTGATCTGTCAGTTTGAGTCATCTGGGTGAATTGAGGTCATTTTTCAAATTCAGTTTTTGAAAAATCAAATTGAAAGTTGGAATTTCAAGTTTCGAGAAGAGGGGTGAACTGGGTGGTCTTGTAAATCCATGTGTCACATGTCTGGATCGTGAGGGACGGACTACCTGAGCGTAGCTCGTCATTCTTTGTTTATCCACCTGCCTCAGGTAGTCTCAGGTAGCGAGCGAGCAGCCAGCACTGGACGTATCTGATTCCTACATGGATGGTGTTTAGCGGACAAACAGTTGAAGTTGTCGGAGGGTTTAGGGGGATAGGTCAGCAGTGTGGCATGCTGGGTTGAATTGTGGCTGCGTAGAACTAAACTAGTGCTTGACTGGGTGCACAGTACTTGTCTCTGAAACCTTGTCAGGTGTGGAACTGTTGTTATGATGCTGGACGTCGCCTCGTCGCTCAAGCATCTTCATGTGTCGTAAATCACAAGCAGTGTAACTGGATTATTTTTACAAACTTGATGTGGATGATTGTGGAAATTCAGGAGGTAGGTTTGTGTGCTGTAAAACCTCATATTGTACTTATTCATATTTAATCTCTATGTATGAAATTCACTGATACTTTTGTATAATATTTGTAAAAGATTCACAATTTCTGCACCATGACTGTGGAATATATGTATGTAACAAAACCAATATGAAGTATTTAAAAGCTAATCTAACCAGCTCTGTTCCTCAATGAAATCAGCATTAGGAAAATTCAACCTAATAGAGCTGACTTTACAAATGGTTTTAAAGCATTAGGAGCCATATTTTCTTTGATATTTATCTTAGCTGACAGCCATGTAAACTGATTGATGTGCATTTCGAAAAGCCTCGAACAGCATTTAATTTGTTATTTTTAGAATTGTGAATTCTGTATTACAATGCGCAAGCAGAAACCGTCAAAACTTAATTCATTTCCCAGTTTTAGTGTTGAGGTTATGATTCATAGATCCGCAGCTCTCAGCGACTTCCGATTCAAGAGCTTGCTTTGCGATCATTTGACTATCTGAATGGCAACTCCCAATGAGTGCGCCTTCGAGTGGGTTTTCCTATCTTCATCAGATAAGAGTTCTCGCTTCATAAGTCAGCGCAGAAACAAAACCCACCACACTATTTGAATAATCAACCGTCAGAGCAAGCTGTGATTTAGTGTATTTGCAGAATATTTGCAAATTCTAAAATGTGGATTCCTAAGTTTTTCACCATGACTAAGGTGAGGATTTTATTGCTTTATACATTATCGTTCATAATATTCTTGACAGCATTTGTAATATGATTCATAATTCAGTCTGAATTTGTAATAGAATTCAGGACAAAACTGTTAAAAATTTCCCTTTATTCAAAACAAAAAAATATTCCTGTATTATTCAACAGAATAAATGTTAAACCTCAGTGAACATGCGTTTCAATTTGAACTTAGCAGTTTTTGCAACTGATCAATACGTGGAGATTCAGTCCTGCAGGGCTCCTGGTTTGATCAATGCCAGGGATACTAAATCTTAAATCAATTGAAAACAATAAAACGATCACCAGGGAGTCATTTACTACCAGTTGCTGGGATACCAATGTTATGAACCTGAAATGTAGTTAAACCAATACCTCTCCTCATTGGCTGAAATGTACATGTGTACATTGCTGATTGACAGATTGGCCATGTGTTGCTGGGGTGTCCACCCTGCTGTGCAATTGTATGTAGGCCATGCTGGCTATGATGTTTATTTCAAATTGATCGGTATGTACATACTGAACTGAATAACAGATTAACATTGTTTAGGTTATAAAGATTACTATTATTGGCATGGTGACTTGTAAAGAAAGAATTGTAATTTGCCAAATTGTATGTTAATTTATTTTCGGGGGAAATTGAAACTATTTTAGCGAAACTGAAAGGTTGATGTGTGATTTGTCATGTGCTAAAACTAACATCAGTATTATCAAGGTGAAACTGACATCATATAAGGAAGCATTCTCTCTATATACCTTGGATAAGTCTATGTCGTGGTAAAAGGCAGTTGATCTCTACTGTGTGCAAGACATTTTACTGTTGATCCTTCGAGAAACTTCAACAATGCCAACTGTTTTGAATAAGCTCCACGTAAGTTTATACATTTGAAATACAGTAAACGACGTTTATAACGAACATACTTATAACAAACTGACCGATATAACAAACTGACCGATATAACAAACTGACCGATATAACAAACTGACCGACATAACAAACTCACATTTTAGTCCAGACCATTTGTTGTATATATGCTTGTAATGAACTATGGTTATTACGAACTAAAGTTAGGGGTCCCCTCGAGTTTGTTATGACCGTAGTTAGATGTATTCTGATTGATGTGTGGGTGGTTTGTTGTTTCAAATGTGTACTTTGATACTCTCTTAGTTGTCTATTTAGGTGTATATAATTTGATAATGGTTAATAGTTGTATCAATAAGCTATTTAATAAGCCAATTTCCTTGCGTAAAGCTGAATTCGCTAACAATGTAAAGTTATACATCATCAAAAGGTTGGCTCATTCAAACAAATGTGGATATAGTTAAAGTAAATACTATATTCATTATGAGATGGTCCCTGGGTGATAGTTCGCAAATGAAATGCACATGTGTCAATTACATACCATCCACATGCTCACTTGCCATGTGGCCAGATGGTGTAGGCGACTGTAATGGAGGGGGTGGGGCAGTCTATGAAAGGAAGGGTAACACCTATATCACCGACACTGTTTACAAAGCATGTGACACTGTAGAAGGTAGTCTTGCTCCAAGGTTGTACTGAAAGATAAGTCCATGGATGTGTAGTAATTCTATCCTCCTAATAGGCAAGTCTAGGTATGTGGACATTACACTCTTAAGTGACAGCTTGTTCTTATCATTTACATAATCTAGAAATTATGATTTAAACGTATAATTATTGCTTTAGAGACTTATGCAAGTCTATGGAGAAGGGTGTGTAGTAATATTTGGAAGGGTGGGATCAGCTCTTTTGAAGAGTAAATTGAAATTGAAATAATAAAATACCACCCCTTGTGAAATCCAATCCATCCTTGTTTGGATTACATAACAATGTTTATATCAAATTTATTCCTTTGATAATTTGCTGTTTGATACTCAAAGAGCAAAGGAACAAAATCATATTAAGATTCCTTTTACGGCATTTCAAGCCAAATGTCATTCTCCATCAACTGTGTATATTACATCATTCCATGTAGATGAACAACAAATGTCTGTGATTAGTTTTCCGGTAATCAAAAGGGTCTAATTTCTCTTGCATAATGTCAATTAATTAGGTAATTCTGCCAGATATTTCTGACAAGACAAACATGTCCACTGTGGGGGAGGCTGTTCGGTTATAGCTTGTGAAGGCTTGGATGAAGCTAATTTCGCAATCCATTTCAGTGTTCCGACAAAAATAACAGCAACAAGGGCGTGACATGTTGACATTACGCATACATTCTCCAGCGTCTTGGAGCCATTCCTTATATTGCTCTCAGACTTGTTTTCATTTCATTCCGTAGTAAGACTTCGTAGTAAGTTGGTTTGTTCCTGAAATGAAAACTGTGACTTTTATCTATACACCTACCATTGTAATTGTATTGTGTTTCTGATCTTTATACCATTTTTGTGTTTCTTATGAAAACAAATTATTTTTTTACATTTTAATGTTTATTGTTTTGTTTTTTGCAGCAGAGTGTTGGTCCGCAGACTCTGAGTCTTTCCCAAATGTTTGACATGGAGAAAAACGGCTTTGATAGCCACATACGATACATAGATGAAACCGATGTAAGTATCCCTGGTTTGTCATGTCAAATCCTTAAGGTCTACCTCGTAGCAACGTTTCACATAAACACTATGCTTTCAAGCTTCAACCCCACTCCTGTTCACGTAAGAAATCTTTCTGTACCAGAGCAAGCGGAAATGACATTGGCTTGGTTCCAAAACCTAAAAATTAAACACATTTGCAACAAATTGGTATATCCTTCCCTGTATCATACAAAATGCATAACATGTATGTTAAGCTTTCATCTTGGGTACATTGTGCTCAAGATTGTTTGGAAGGTATATTTAGGTTTAAACCTTTTATTGCGGCAGTTACTATTTGTTTTTGAGTGGATAGGTCAACACTTGAGTAAAACAGTCCTCCGCTGCGTGGTTGAGTCAGTGCATCACAACACTGCACATGTCTCTGCTGCATGACTAAGGTCAAGGGAGGGCCATGAGAAATGCTGTTTTTTTGTTGAAAATGATGCAACGTTATTTATTAACAAGTTAATCGTTGTTTGATATTTACATGGTATTACACTTTATGTTCGTTGGATGAGAAAGTTATGCCATGATTTGGTTTAATTAGGTTGAAAGCACTAAAGGATTATTCAGTTTGTTTTATGAATTAATTATTGCATCTTAAAAGATTTTTATGAGAAAATTGAAATTGTTGTATTTGTAAAAGATGTGGGGGTTTTTAAATGAAAAAAGTAAAGAGAAGCACTGAATGATCCTGAGTGCACAAGACTTTGAGAAAAATGAAATAATTGAGTAAACTCTCATTTTTACAAAATGTGGTTTTTTTATGAAAAATGTACAGGATGAACCAGAGTGCATAGTACAAGACTTACGCATGAACATGAATCAGTCTTCGTGAGCCTCTCTTATCGTATTTCTGACGCACTCAAAGCTCTTCAAGGTATAGATTTACTATGATATTTTTTCAGGCATTGATATTTCAAGACGGCAACCTGTTATCAGGATCGCTGGAGGCACTTATCCAGCATCTGGTCCCCACAGGAGATTATTACCCTGATGTGAGTATATTTGCCATAGCCACCTTTTCATTGGATATAGACACTTGTATATATCATGCCTGGTACTACAGAAGCATTACTGAGCCTAGCGTCAATTTCGCTATTGACAATGCCACTTTTGAAATAAGTAAGGTGCTGTTTCAGTATTCAGTGTCATTCCGTCTTGACAGTTCATTTGGTTCTACATGTAGTTGTATTACCAGACCTAAAAAACATGTTGTGAAAAGGGTGAATGAAATTAACACTTGTTGATTTCCTTTACTGAAATAGACTATAAGTTGTTATTCCAGGGAACCTGCCCTGCTTTTATTCCACCTTTAGTAGGAAACTGAATATAGTAGAGAGGATGTGGCGATGGGTTCAAGTACCACATGGGATTGGAAGTCTGGAACTCAGCCATGGTTAATTTTACCGAAGTGTTCGCTTCATTGAAAACATCCCCCAAACTGTTTGATTCATTAACTGCCCAACACAACACTGTGTTGTGAATGAGCCATGCAAGTGAACGGAAACTGTATGGCTGTCGTGCTTGTAAGTGTTTTCATATTAAGAAAAGTAGTACTAAGCATAACCAGCAGATCATTCATATATTTCCTATAATGCTACTTCAAGAAACCCCCAATTGATAAGGCTAATAATGCAGGATTTACCTAATATATATACGCCCATCTTTTTCAAACTTTATATGGCTATGTTTGCAGATGTAAGAACATGTGGGAGAATTGTTTTTGCACATGTTGCTGAGAAACGGTTTAACAATCTTGTATTTATGAGTCTCCCTAGACTAACATCTAGTCTCTGAAATGAACATATCACACAGAAAAAACAGTTGTTCAGTTATCTTAATAAAAATATAATAAAAGGGAGCCCAATGACTCTTCATTTCCTGATACTGCAATTATCTAGACTTGCCAAACATAGGCTTACTTGCATGGGCTGTATTTGATATATATTTGTATCAGGGTCTGTAAGACAAACTAGAGTCTCCCTCTAGCAGGATGTTACGCTGTAAGAAACTGAGGGTTGAGACATGCCCACTGTTTAATGACACTTGACTTACATCAAGGGAACAGAGAGGGTCCATTGTCAAGGTCGGGGAATGCAGGGGAGGTTTTGATCATACCAGGATGTGCATAGTTTAAATATGGTTTTAATATCACTGAAAACCCTGAAATGTACAAATTTTAAGATATAGTTCACTTCCAACTCATATTCCTATGCAAGAGGTATTCCTGTTAATGTTAAGTAATGGTTCTATATGGACCATTATACAATCCCCTTGTCATTATTCTGGGTCGGGAGTATTTCCCTCACGAATTATAGAACATTAATATGATTTATATTAATTTTTACAATAAATGGGATCATAACAGTATTCTTATGATGTTGTTAATGGTAGTAAGTTGTGAGGTAAGCATTATATTTAACAATATCTGTTGTACAACATCCCATTCAGCTTATGAGACACATCTACCTTCCTATCATTCTGTTAAGTTGTTCTCTATGTACAATACAATGATTTAATGGTGACAATGTTTGACTAAAACAAAAATAGCACTCTTTGTTGAGGTTGCAGAAAAGTAGGGATTCTGCTGATATAACGAACACAGTGCTGCAAAGTGTGAAATCATGTTTCAATGTTACAGATATTCTTGAAAAAGGATTGTGCTTTTTTGGTGCATTTTGAAAGCATATCAAATTGAAATACACATCAATCAATTAAAACCCAGTTCTGTTTCAACATGCACTGTATTAATCTATCCCAGCAAACTCACAAAACCATTTATCTGATCGATGTAATTCATTTTTTGGTATTACAATGATTGAATGGATTTTCCAATGCTTAGTCCGTCGCAGAGATGTGTGTGATTGTATGTTTAGCAAGTGTGTTCCAATATTTAACTGATATTTTCAAGTACTGAAGCATTAACTTTCCTATAGAACATCGTACAAATATTTATATGATTAAACAGTTTACACAGATTATGAATTAATGATTCTTTCCCAAATATTATCGTGACAACTATTTTCTTGAAGCAGTGTTTCAATATTGTCAAGTCTGTAGAAAGATTTAATTAAGGAATTGATATTTTTGGCAACATAACTTCTTTAAAAGTTACAAATACTAACATGTTGAATTATGTGGTTATAACACAGTCATTCTTTTCTTTCAGAGGACGTACATATTTGCGTTTCTCCTGAGTTCAAGGCTGTTTATCCGACCACACAATTTACTGGGAGAAGTTTGCCAGGTGAGCCCGAAATAGACATTTAATTAACAAAGAGTACAATCAACATCAGTGGCAAATAAACACATATATTCCAAGCAGCTGATATGTACATGATAATGCTGACTGGCAGGTGTCAATCAAAATTATCATTTGTTTATTGCAACTTTTTGTGCTAATACTTGAATAGCTTTCAAATGAAAGTAAAACAAATATTTGTGGAAGGAAATTGCCCTGCCCATCATTAAAAGAAATGACGATCACGTGTACAAAGACATGTGACTACCTAGAGTCTCCCAGTTGAAGACGAAAATGTTAATTACGTGATTAGGAGTACAGCTTGAAATAGACTTGTTGAAATTGAGTGGCGTTCAGGTGTCTATTTACACTGTCAACACGTCTCTTTCACGAGACGAGGCCCCACACAGTGATAGCAAGTCCCCTTAGTAAACCACTTTTGCATATTCTTTTGAAGTTTCTTAAAATAGTTTGTTAATCAATTTTAAACCTTTTCTCGTTTATTTTTAGGTGTGCATATTTCAACAGAATCTGGCCAATGACAGAATTGACAAGGTAAACAGTTTGTGATGTTTTGATAAGATCATGATATTAAATTATTATATTGACAGTAATAACTTTGTAGAACAGTACAGTTATGACGTCTCATTAAAAAACACATTTTCCATCTTCTGTTTTCTTAATCTGTATTTTATTTGTGTTTACAGAATTCCCTGGGTAAATTTGGAACACACATCGTCAGCCTGTTGAGGTAAGTGTTACATAATTATTTTTCGTGTTGATTAAATGATATAATAATTAATAAATCTGTGGAATGATCGCTTAGCAACTCATACTTTATCATCTTCATCTTCATCATCTTCATCATCTTTATCGTTGCAGCGAGTGGACCGAGTTGTTCCCCTACGACTTCAGGGATGAACGCATGATGAAACACCTGAAGGATATCACGCAGCGCGTCGTGAAGATATACCCCGAACTCAGAAAAGATATCAGTGCTCTCATGCATAATCTTCTCTCTCGAGTAAGTAACAAAATGACTTCATTTACATAAAAACATCCAAGATTGAGCCACCTGATCAATGAAGAAGTTATAGGCTTGTACTGGCTTTCTTCATGTAGGCAGTTTCACTTGATGTACGTATCTTGAAACTTCTTCACCATCATGTGATTCATGGACAGATCCTGGGCTTAAGTAAAACCACACAACCCGAAATACTTCCGAAAACCTGTGACTGTTTCACATTCAGTTTGTTCGGATGAAACTGGTATTTGCAGATGGATCAGAGAAGCCTCCTTTCTTTGTAGGACAGGATCCGATATGTGGACACTCTGTGAAGATTGTATGTGATAGAATCTCAGTGTTTATCTGTGTCTCAACTGTGCAATATCGGGATAATGTTTTCATCCTGTTAAATTCCTTCTGTGTGACCCCTTGTCTTGACCTCCTGATCAAGACATTGAAAATATGCTAGATATTTCAACTGTTTTTTACCAAAGTTCATTCATTCATTCATTCATATAAGGGGAAGAATAAGAGAAAAAATAAAGATGTCATGTGCAAAACTGGATTATATCCCAACAATTTCACGTTTCAAACTTCACAATTGTTTTTTTCAAAAGATGTTTTTTATTTGATACTTAAATGGTCAATTTTCAATTATTTTTAGTATATCCCTCATTCAAATTTCTTTTTTAAGAGTGAATTGGTCAGGTTTCTGTTTCTGGTAACTTTCCAAGGTCAAATAATTGGTAGCTTCACTTCCGTTTACGAAATATTACCTTTGACATTTTAGTTTGCCATTGTGAGACATGCTACTGAAACGCTGACCCTATTCCGTTATCAGACTGATCCTAACTTGGCCAGTGCCAATCCAAATGCAATAAATAACATTGATAAGCAGCAAGTTTGTCTAGAATTATTTGGTGGAACCAGCGGGGAAACCTCCCTCCGAGGATAACGGATAATTCCAGTGCCATGTTTCTCAGAGACAGGCATCTTTTTTCCTTGGCAGCACAGTTGAGGTTGTCATTGAGATCTAATGCAAACTGAGACCACAATTGATGGTATGCTATTTTTGTGGCAAAAATATTCTATGGCTTAAGGAAAGTCTGACCAAGCTGGGGTTAACCCATGTTCTGTTAATCCAACTCAACTTCTTTTCAGATTTGATGTTTTGTAATGAAATAATTTGGGGCTAAAGTTACAGATTTGATAATTACTCAAATTATATGAAATTATATAAATCTTAAATCAAATCTTAAATGTCTAATAAGGATATGTTTCTGACATGTATGCTGAAATTGTAATTTCCTTGATCTATTTTTATATGATATTTGTGTTAAACTTCCATAAATGGGCGCAACAATAATATATTTCCTGATGTGAAGGCAAATGGCCTTTCCTTGTATCACAAATAGAAAGGAGGATACGATAACACATGACCAATCTAACTTATGCTGATGACGTGCAAAATGAATTCAAATTATGATGACTAACCACTTAAAATTTTCTTAAATAACATCCTGGTTTAAATGCTGTCAACGTCACACTTTGTTGCCATGGATACATTTCCTTATAAGACTGCATGGCGAACGTACCAAACTGTGGAGATGCTACCAGAAGCACTTATAGTAAGTATTTTATGATTTTTTTCTTTTTCTGTTCCAGTTGTCTCGGCTCCAGAAATTTGAAGATGTCTTGGCTAAATTGAGCACAGAAGCCATGCAGAAGTCCCAGACCCAGGTCGTCCCCACCACCGACATCATGGAGGTGTGCCCCAGCCCGCTTGTCCTAGCACAGCAACTTACACATGTTGAACTGGTACGTTGTGTCTCAAAAAAAATAATTTTATTGAAATTTTTTGAATGAAAGAATTTTGTTTCTACTTGCTGTCAACTTCATTCTCTTAAAACACTTTTTAAAAAAATATTAAAAAATGTCGGTAAGAATTGTAAATTCAATTTACTTATCGAATATGACTTTTTTTCAGGAGCGTTTGAGTATGATTGGTGCTGAAGAATTTGTCCAAGCATTCTCAAAAGAAGTTATCGATGGAGAGGTATGTACAGTTTCTAATACCTATTACATATCAACCACAGGCATCTATATTCTTAAGTATCCTTTATTTCTCTGCCAATTCTAAAATGGCACAGAAATATCATCATGAAAAGAATAATTAAGCTTAACGATAACAAGAACTTTCAGGGGGGGTAACTCTGTTTCATACTTCAGTTATGAGAATATTTTGCAGATTGTATAATTTCACATGTCATCTGTTCTATTGCAGACTACATTCCGTGACATGAAAAAGACAACCAACTTGGAGGCGTATGTTCAGTGGTTCAACCGTCTCAGCTACCTCGTGGCGTCAGAAATATGCTCAGTAAGTCTCATTAGGATATTTATCAGTGAGATGAAATTCCATGGTTTAAAAAATTCATAGCTTTCTTCTTTTTTAATTTATTCACATATTTACTTAATTTATTACTTATTTGCTTAGTTAATAATTTGCTTCTTTATGTTTTCAGCATTTGAAGAAGAAGAACCGAGTCAAAATGATTGAGTACTTCATTGATGTTGCTAAGGAATGCATCAACATTGGCAACTTCAATTCGCTCATGGCAATCATAGGTAAAAACACATTTCAATTTGACAGATTCTGTAATGTCGGAAATATGGAAAGCATCAATGCTGAATTATGACATGTGTCCACAAGTTTTGAAAAACTGAAATCAATACTCCACACTAACAGTAGTGAGTGAGTGAATATTGTTTAAAAATAGTGAGTATTGTTTTACGCCACTTTTAGCAATATTCCAGCAATATCACGGCGGAGGACACAGAAACGGGATTCACACATGTACCTATGTGGGGAATCTAACGCCTGACGAGCGAACGCTTTAACCACAAGGCTACCCACAGTTCTTGTTTAAATTAGCCTCAGGGATACTGTAGCTATATACAGTAAGCTACGTTTATAACGAACACGTTTATAACGATCTGATGTATAAAACAAACTCCATCCATTTGCTGTATATGCTTATATAAATACCAAACTAAATTTATTGCCCGTTCGAGTTCCTTATAACCATAGTTTACATGCATTATGTGATTTGTCTCTGGACTAAAAGATTTTTGTACATTTTTTCAGCTGGCATGAACATGAGCCCTGTTGCAAGATTAAAAAAGACGGTAAGTTGCCTCACAATAGTATATACCTGTACAAACAGAACCTAAGCAATGTCGAGCCCATTTCTCACAAAAACACCTTCTGGAAGATTGATGCTAGAAACACATATATACAAAATGGAAGTACTTAATGTATCCAGAATAATCTGAACTGGTAATTTTCTTTTGTGAATCAGTGCTTTTCCACTATGATTAATAAAAACCAAGAACCGTGAAGATTCCGGGTTAGAATAGGTCTTCAGCAACCCATAATTGTTATAAAAGGCGACAAAGGGGATCGGGTGGTCAGGCTCGCTGACTTGGTTGATGCATGTCATTGATCCCAATTGCGTGGATCGATGCCCATGATGTTAATCACTGGATTGTCTGGTCCAAACTCGATTATTTTACAGACCGCCTCATATAGCTGGAATATTGCTGAGTGCGGCGTTAAACAAACAAACAAACAAACAAACAAAGAACATTTAAATATATTCACACATTACACTTTCCTTATGAAGCTGAGCAGAATACTTGTTGTGTAACTGTGAGTACTTATGTTGTGTTCTTCTACCTACAGTGGGCTAAGGTGAACACAGCCAAGTTCCTTATCTTGGAACATCAGATGGACCCCTCCAACAACTTCGGCAGTTACCGATCATGTCTCAAGGCGGCAATGTGGCGCTCACAGGGAGCGGTCGATGATCAGGGAAAGGTAATTCAGTTACTCCTCTCAACATTCCTGTAATTTTGACAAACAAATTAGATAAATTCCAACAATCAGCTGTCTTATCAGTAAAATTGCTTTGTGGGAATATTCAGGTTAAGAAGTTCTCAAAATAGAATTTAAATCTAAAATCAATTATTTTGTCAGTTGTCTAATCACATGAGGTGATTTGCTCTTTGTCGGTTAATTTTCATTAACAAAAAATATAAATGCTTGAATTCAATTATTTTGCTGTATTATAATTAAATTTTGTGTTTCTTTTTTCCCAGATTGTCGTTCCATTCTTCAGCCTTTTTGTCAAAGATCTGTACTTCCTCAACGAAGGCTGCATGAACAGGCTGTCCAACACTAACATCAACTTTGAGGTAATCAGGAGTTTCAAAGAAAAATAAATTATGCCAGTATCAGTCAAATAGTTCAAAATTATTTTCACTAAATATAAAAATGAAGACTTTGACACCAATTTACCCATATTTTTATTGGACAAAATGCCTAAAACCAACTTGATTATAGCTAATTATCTATTCAACATAATTGAATGCTTTCAACAGATTATCAGCGTAATTATGATCAAGGTATTTACATGTACAATGACTCATTAACTAAATGTTCTTTATTTGTCTTTTAGAAATTCTGGCAGGTTGCAAAGCAGATCTCAGATATCATGGCATGGCAGCAAGTTGAGGTAAGAATAGTTATTTTTATTTAAAATATTAATAGTTATAAAATGATTAATGTACTATTTTCAAATACACATGTATTTAAAAAAACTTTATCTTAAAGAGGGGACTTTATATGCCACTAGTTGCAGTTTTCCATGTGGGAATTAAACTCGGGTCTTCAGTGTTATGGGCAAGCGCTTTAACCACTAGGCCAACCTACATTTCAACATATACCTTTTTTATAGTAATTATGTTTTTCTGACTTGTATTTTCATGTTTCACTGTCTCTTTCTTTCAGTGCCCATTTGAGAAGAGCAACAAAGTGTTGAATTACGTACTAACATCACCAGTCTTCTCAGAAACAAGTAAGTAGAATCTAATTTAATCGCAAATTTCAGATTAATTTGAAATTTGATTGATAATTTTTTTTACAATTTTTTTTTATGGAAAATACATGAGATATATAAGATGAAACATTATGCCAGGATTGATAAGTGATAACAAAATGCAATGAAAATGATTCACAAAACGTCAATTATAGAATACTTTTGCAAAATTTCAAAAAAATCTTGAAAAGTTATTGTTTTGCCTACATATATAACATGAATGTATTTCTTCTCCCCACAGCGCTTTCACTGGCATCGTATGAATGTGAGCCCCCAGAAAACAGCTATGACAAGGAGAGACACAAAACACTCAAGTAAGCATCTTACAGTAGCAGCTCTTTAGCATGGTTGATACCTACAGTGGCCCACAAGGGACATGTAGTCTGTTTTTCAATATTTTGATATTTCACTTTTTGAACCTTTTGCAAATTAACACAATTTGTCATGCAAATATGTGATAAATCATGTATAAAAACAACCGAAAACATGGAAAATGTACTTTCAAGTAGCTATTGAATCGCTGAAATGTGAAGTGAAAATGTCAAAAACTAAAATGAAAATGTCAAGGTGACTCAATATCTTCTTTATACATGATTTATCACATATTTGTATGACAAATCATGTAAATTTGCAAAAGGTTCCGATAACAGTAAGTGAAATATCAAAATATTGAAAAATAGACTCCATGTCCCTTATGGGCCACCGTAGATACCAGTAAGCTTCAAGTTTACTAGTATTATGAGAAACCTGACTTCATTATCATATTAATCAGTTGAGGAAACTTTACATAATGATAACAATAACTAATATTGTGCCATATCAATCCTGTGAAGAATGCTCAAAATTATCACCCGTCAATGGATCAGTATGCGCTCAATCTCATGTGAACTGTACTGGTCAATATAATTATCAATACTATTTATTTCTTCCTGACATAAAGATTATTTTTTAAATGTGTATGACCAGGTTATTCATTAGTCACTTCTCTTTTCCAGGGCTCAGGCTGGTTTATGACAAACAGAGAGAAAGATGTCAGCCTACTATCTTTGTGAATCATTTTGATACAAGTACTTAAAATGGCTGCCGACTGCCCTGTGGTTGTAACACATCAATGTGTGTAAAGGAGGATATTGTCCAGCTTTGAGTGTTGTGCAGGATCTGTTGTAGACGCTTCAAGTCAAGATGTCCTTGCTAGTGCTGGTCAAGAATCAGATTGAAGTTGTAATGTGTGTGATAAGCATTGTTGAAGGAGGGACAGTATCTTCTAAAATGGCAGTCGGACAAAATGTCTCAGTGCTGGAGTTATCTCCCTTTTAAAGGAGTTATCCCCCCTGCAAAATGGCAGACACTTGGTGTCCAGACTGATCTCGAGTGAGAATGCCTGTGCTATTGTGCAACCCAAAGACTGTGTTATTATGGACACTTCAAGCATGTGACGAAGAAATTGCCAGTATATTTGTACTGGATTATGAAAAGTGCTGTCGAACTTGTTTTTAAGGCACTTTTGACTGTTGCTGGACAACAAAATGTGCCATTTGTTACAAAAGTCTGATGGGACTCTAATTTATTTTCCTGGTGGTGCTGATGATTGAGTTTAGTTTGCCCTCTCAGGATGCTGCTTCATTCGTTCCATGTTATTTGTTTTGCAAGCTACATGGACAATTTTAACATTCTCAACAAAATTTTATTCTCAGAGAGCCTAGTTATATATCTATATATTATGAGGAACATTTCATTATTTTTTTCTAAAAAGAAAAATGAAACAAAAATGGAAAATGAGACCAAAGATTTTTTTTGAGAATCTCATGGGAACACTACAGGTTTTATATATCTATGTATACAAGACTGTTTTCAGGTGGAAATAAATTTGTTGTATATGTGGTTTGACTTGTAGATATTCAAAAGAATTTTCATTTGTAAATTTCATAAATGGCATTTTCATACTCGGAGCCATTCCAAATTTTCTCTTATATTTCGAATGATTTTTTCATTAAGAGGAAAGAAGGAAATGTTGTTTTTACCAGTCATCCATAGAAGGGCAAAAGAATAAATGTGGCAAAATTTACAAAACTGTAAGAAAGGATAAATGATTATTTTAGCCCAGATTGAACAATCACTTGTTTCTTCTGCATGTGTAGCCCATATTTTGAGATCACTATCACCAAACTTGAACATTTTCTGATCACTATTCTCATCCCATTGGATTCATCATATCATACACCATCAATACTCAGAAATATGGAGACTCAGATCTGTATTGTTGTTCTGACGCTTCTCTCTAGTGTTTAGCAGCTGTTGTTGAATATGCACTTTGTTGACAGTGGTGCCGAGCCCTAGGCAGACATATTGTTATACTGTGTGATGCTTTGGTGGCCCTGGTGCTTGCACTTGTATATAGAATCTGTACATACAATCAGTCAAATAAAATGTGAATCATAAATACTCATCCTGTTTTTAATGCTGGAAGAACAATTTCTGGTGACAGTCATTTCTTTCTTGTCTGTGCAAACCTCACTGAACAATATGATCCAGGTGAGTGAGTGAGTGAGTGAGTATGGTTTTATGCCGCTTTTTTAGCAATATTCCAGCAATATCACGGCGGGGGACACCAGAAATGGGCTTCACACATTGTACCCATGTCGGGAATCGAAACCCAGGTCTTCGTCGTGACGAGCAAACGCTTTAACCACTAGGCTACCCGACCGCCCCCTGATCAATTAGGTCTGATCAGGTGAATAGTCACCTGATGAGGGGGACGACATGTAACCCTGAAACTTTGTTTCAAACAGAAAAGAAGTTGTCAGATGAGAATAATGCACCACTATTCAAAAGCTGTTCATTTCTGTACTTCGCTGTGCAGGGTTGTGTCCCTTGGGCACGCCAGAAACCGGGGTTTGTGGGTTCAAATCCTGATTTGCCCCGATTATGTTTCTAGCTTTGTCACCAAAGTGTAAACGCCTGAGATCTGCATCACTCTGGGCTTTCCTTCCACATTACGCTGACATGCTGTGATATAACTGGAATACTGATCAATCTCAGGACACTCACTCACTCTACAAAATGTGAAGGAAATGTTAAAGTTTCTGACAACTCTCAGAATCTAATGTTGAACCCCTTGAGAGGGTGTGAATATTGATTTTCAATGCTGTCTATAACACAACACTCCAACACACCAGTGGCTGAATGCATGCCTCAATATCAGGTAACAAGTGATTAACATACATTATAGCTAAATTGGATAGAATTATCATTAAACCGCCCGCCTGTTATCAGAAATGAGCGGGCCACTGTAACTTGATAATGCCCTCATATTGCTTGACGACGGGCCATTATCACGCCAGTTGTTAGGTGACGTCATAGGGATGAGGATAGGTGATGTCACGTTCAATAGTGACGTCATCAGGTTTGTTCTATGACGTTTCCATTTTTGTGGGTCAGTGACGTTTCGTGTTGATTGCACTAAATGTTTCAAAACTGATATTATTGTTTATTTTTATTTGATAACAAATTCTATCCATTTTAGCTATAATAACGGTAACGCTATTTTTCAGGGCATTATCATTTGCAGAAGCCCTCGGTCTTTTCAACTGCCCTCCTTTGTCGAGCGGTTAATGGAAGACCTCGGCTTCTGCAAATGATAATGCCCTGAAAAATAGCGTTATCCTTATACTAATGTCACCCCATTATCATGTAACATGGCACAACATGGAGGGTACTCAGGATCTATTCTGCCTTACAATCTCCTACAAGATGGACCCAATAAGATGCTCCACCCTGCTTTGCTGACATGAATAATAGCAATCATATCTGGAGATGACATATCCCCCCTTCTGGTGCAATTTAGAAATGGAGTTTTGCTATTTATAGTTTTATACCCCACTTTTGGATACCTTCAGTTCAGTTATGGACCTATGTATATAGTTATATAGATCTGTGGTTCAGTGAAGTAAAAATAATGCTGTTCAGAATTTTTCAAAATTCCAGATCATCAAAAGGCACAAGTTCACCTCTCGACTGATATGTACAGCAAGTTTCATCCAGAAATATTCATTGGTTTTGGAATTCTGCTTCGGAAACAAGCCCAACCCTCATTTTTCAGTAAAGACTAACTTGTCATGAAAAGAAAAAACCCCAGGAAAAACCTAAAAGTCCCAAATTAACAGGCACAAGTTCATCACCATAAACTGATCCATATAGCAAGTTCCAACAAGAAATATTTATCAGTTTTGGAGTTCTGCTCCAGAAACGGAAAACGGACAGCTGACGGACAAGTACATTTTCATGGCACTACAATATTTTTACACTAGTCAAACGATCACAACCCAAGCTGCTAGAAAGTGAACAGTCACAATACCATCTCATCTGACTGGGTTCCCATTCACTGTTGGTGAACAGAGGCATTAATATGACATAGAAATCTTTATATTCTTTTTTTCACAAAATATGCAATATAGATCACTTTATCGTACTGGGGGAATTTGGTGCAAATATTGTACTGATTCTGCCAAAAGATGATGGTTGGCCTCTCTGCATTACATGCGTTAGAACTGAGAAGAAATTCTCTGTATGATCCAAATAAATAAACACTAAATTTCTACATAATCTGTTCCAACAGATAATTAATAGCAACAAGGCAGCGCCAAACTGATAATATCCCTAGGTTTTTGGGGACATATTGCGTGTACGTGTGATTATATCTTGTTTACACAACCAGAAAATCTAATTTGATGCACTGCATCAACTAATGATGTACTAAGCACTCCTACTTGAAAAATCCATTTGAAAATGGGATGGTGCCAAACAAGAAAATATTATTTCCACATGGCATGTTTCTCAACGATTACACAACATTCTGTAAATTTAAAAATTCTTTATTTACAACTTCTGGTCATTAAACGTTCACAGATAATGTCTGTTTAATGATTTCCTGTTCTTCCACACAATTAAGTTTCTGCTTGCTGAAAGATCACTGGTACAAGGGAGACAACTCTTCAGTTAATGTCAACACATGCTGAAGAGGGGTTATTTTGGCAGCATGTTGAGATTGAAGAGATGCCTCATTGTCGGACGACCATGGGGGCAGTTCTGAAATGAGGATAATTATCACCATAAGGACTCCATAAGTCAATTGCTAACCCATCATGTCTTGAAGACTTTAAACTTTTATGGTAATATTTTTTTTGTGTCAGTCATGATTTCTTGCCCAAAAAATTATTTTTTCTTGAAATTTTCAAAGATTGGATGTCATATCTTATTTTTATTTTAGACTTTGTTCCAGTTATTCCTATCAGGAATCTTTTAGATACATAATGCAAGGTAATTCTGGTTCAGATTCTCACTGACATTATTACATGATTCTGAAGTAAAACTTTAAAATGTGCATCAATAAATTACAAGACGTGACAGCACTTGACATGGATGGGGGCTTCAGAAGAGACCATCTGCATTGTGTGAAGAAATTGCCATACACAGTCATAAATCCATCTTGGTAAATTAAATGAAGCTGAGAAATGTGAACCTACCCAAGGCTGCTCAATCTCACCCATGTGGCACAACAGCTGAAACAATCAAGAGAACACATTTCTTCTCTTATTCAAACTTTGAAGTTGAGTGTCTACCATAGACATAGGTGCCTTTAATGTAAGTCTTGACATTATTACATTTGAAACATCATTCCCTGAAGAATATGTCTGTTGAGTATAAAGCTGTACAAACTGTGTTTTTATATTTTAGCACTTTCTTCAGAACAGCCTGGGGGCACAATGGTCCTGTCGTCTAAGATACTGCAATTCGCTGTGCAGAGTGGCCTCCTTTCGACACGCCGGAAACCTATAATTCTTGCGAATCCTCTACCTCTATTAAATCATTGCCATAAATCCTGTATTTTGACTGCAATCACACAAAACTAATCTTCAGAATTTCAATCCACTGTCAACCACACAAGTCGAGTTGTCAAGACAATAGGACCGCCAATAAAACCTCTAGCTCGCTAGCTTGTCAAGGCAGGAAAACCTCACAATCTCTAGGCTATGTAGTCACACTAGATATCTAAAATTCAGATAATTAGTTGTTATCTATTGTTGTACTATTCAACACTCTGACTGTTTTGGTAAAAGGTCCCTCTTTAGCTGATTCTAACATAAATATTAGTGGTGATTGTTATGGGTGCGAGTCCAAGATGGCATCCTCAATCTCTCCTCCAGGCTGAAAATCATGTTGAAAGTTCATGATTACAGGGGATCCCCATCCAACTTGCTGGAAATGCAGAGACACCTCATGCTTAGAAGAGACTGTGAGTCGTGTGCTTCCCTAAGACAGCTTTCAACAAGCTATTTGACTCCATCAAGAAGGCTAGAAGGAAGGAAGCAGCCAAGATGATAGCAGACGGTTATTTTCTCACCCTCTTCTGCTACTCACACTGAAACACCGTCAGGAATCGGGAACAACTAAGACTTCTCCACCTGTGACAACTCCGGCCATACCGATGGATCTTTCAGATCTAAGTATTCTTAGATTTATAAACAATGATGTCTATTGTTCCTATGATTGTGGGTTCGAATCCTGGTTCACCCCAATCATGTTTCTAGGTTTCTCAGCACCAAACCCATGCTCGTGAGTTTCATCAAAGTGGTAAACGTTCGAGACCTGCATCACTTCGAGGTTTCCTCCCACATAAAGCTGACACTACAATACTGTTCAATGCCTCGTTAAACCTAACTCACTCACTAACCCACATGAACAATAAGTCAAGGAGACAACAACAATTTTTGTGAAAAGAAAGTCAGCTAAATGACTATCAGATTTAATGCTTCAGTGCAAGTGTGGTTTAACTGAAGAGTATGTGCTGAGAACCCAGGCTATCATGAATATCATAAATAACCTTTTCGAAAGTTAGACAATCATAATTTAAAAAAATTCTTTACCTCATTTAATTTAAAAACTTTTCCACAATAACACCAATGGAAAAAGATTTATGTTAACATATGAAAACCAAATTCATAACTATTTGATTGGCATTCTAGAAGTATGTTTTTCTGATACCATCTTTTCAGACAACTGCCTCTTTTCTTTATTTATAGACTTTTATTCCAACCTTTTTCATTTCTGCTTTATTGAGAGCTGTTCCAATCATGATTGATTTCCGACAGGCCCTGGAGGCAAACATCATCCGAACCCGGGACGGCCGACACATCACACCCTGGTGGATAAAGTGAGTGAGTGAGTTGTGATCACAGCCTCCATTACAGAATAACCTACATCATGCATTATCTGAAAACAATTTGATGAAACTGAAGCATAACAAATTTAGCACTGAATACACCTTTAAACCCTTTTTTTAATTTTTTAATTTTTAATTTTCTCTCTTTAATGGTCACAACATTCTGTAGATGCCTAGAGCAGATAAACCAATGACTGCAATAACGCAGGTATTTCAGATTATCTCCTCTTTGAGTGTCTTCAATGCTCACATACGCGACCAACTTGTGTTATTCCTGGACAAGCCGAATAGTGATTCGTGCCCCTCTCGTGGCCATTTTTTCAGTCTAATTGCAAACGGGCAAAGCTAAAAGAATTGTAAACTCGTTGCATAATGATTCACATATATTTCCCCTATACATCAAATATATTTAGAGATGCTATTGAAAACACAACAAAACTAACAGTATTATACAGTATGATTGACCACATTTACCTGTATCTTGGGTGTATTTTTAAATGCAAGACATATGTAAAATAAAAAATTATTCCTAAAGTGTTCTTTGACCGAAGTACTTTAACGCATTGTGATTGGTTTGTCGTATTTTCGTGCCAAATATTCATCGCTAAGGGGACGAGTTTTGCAGGTTATGGAAAGGGGCAAGTGGTGATGAATGCAATGATCATTCAATCATGGTTCTGCAAGATTACAAGAGGAGCACTGTTAACACATAGGAACGTGATGACAGCTGTACTTACTGGCGAGTCTGTCAGCATGAAGATCAGCTCCTCTATGTCTGCAGGGAGATAAAGCTGCTTAGTGTATCATAGTATTGCCAACCCAAAACATCAGTAAGAGGCACTTTGCACTGCCACTAATCCTGATAATCACACTCCTCAATAAAATCACAAACTGTTTCTTTCCTGAGCCAGATAAGTGATACATACTCAATACTACTCGTTGCTCTTATACTACTTGTTGCTCAAATACCTTTTGCTCAAATACAACTGTTAGCTCAGATACTAAAATTAGCTCAAATACAACTGTTAGCTCCAATACTAAAGTTAGCTCAAATACAACTGTTAGCTCAAATACAACTGTTAGCTCAAATACAACTGCTAGCTCAAATACAACTGTTAGCACAAATGCAACTGTTAGCTCAAATACAACTTTTAGCTCAACTACTACTGTTAGCTCAAATATTACTATTAGCTCAAATATTACTGTTGGCTCAAATATTACTGTCATATATTATTTTGCTACATTGCCTATATGAACATTACAGGACCTTTCCAAATTTACAATCATATGATCCCCGTCATCGAAATGGAAATAGCTACAATAAAATCACAAAAATAAATGAATGTTTTCACACCGTATTGAAAACAAAGTTGCCCAGCAAGCTAGGTAGACATGTTTACTAATGACACAAAAATAAGTATCAAGAAGCTATGATTGCATGTCCTCAGTTGTTCCTGACTTCTATCCCCCTTAAAACAGTTGATCATAACCTTAGTAACAATGTATCCATGGTAACATAAAGCAAGGAGTTCTCACCATCCTTGCCAAAGTTCCAGTTTTTACTGACTGGCGTTGACGTCAGCTTCACTCTGCAGGTGGGAGGGGCTGTAATGTAAGACATTCATTAAATACCACTTCAGATCCTGTTGCCATGGTTTGTCTAAACAGTAGGTGGGTAAGCATGGCCTACAATATATTTTGAGTTTATGGATTTATATGTAAAATATGGTGCGCATGAGTGAGTGAGATAGTGAGTGAGTGAGTGAGTGAGTTAATGCTGCTTTTAGCAATATTCCAGCAATATCACGGTAGGGGACACCAGATACCGGTGGGCTTCACACATTGTACCCATGGGTCTTAGGCATGACAAGCCAACGCTTTAACCAATAGGCTACCCGACCACCCCCTTAACCAATGGACTGCAACCAACCTGTTTCGTCAATGACAAAGTCGAAGCCGTTCTTCCTGAAGATGTCCAGGTTGTCTACTAGGATGGTCTCGTTGCTAGCAGTCAGCTCCAGGTTTTGAGGGCTGCAATGGCCAATTCAAAGACAGTGAGTGAGTGAGGTAGTGAGTTAGAAGTGAGTGAGTGAGTGAGTGAGTAAGGTAGTGAGGTAGTTAGTGAGAGAGTGAGTGAGTAAGGTAGTTAGTGAGAGAGTGAGTGAGTAAGGTAGTGAGGTAGTTAGTGAGAGAGTGAGTGAGTGAGTGAGTGAGAGAGTGAGTGAGGTAGTTAGTGAGAGAGTGAGTGAGTAAGGTAGTGAGGTAGTTAGTGAGTTAGTGAGAGAGGTAATGAGGTAGTGAGTGGACTCACTGTATAAGCTTCTGACTCTGTATGACAGTATGTCTCTGTAACATCTCAAAGTTGTACTTCTCATCAGTTGCATGCTGATCAACAATAAACAGGTCCTCCCCATGCTTAGCCAGGATGAAGCCCAGATTAAACTGGAACAAAACAACAGCTGTCAGGTGCCCCTCATGTAGAACACATGGAGAATAAGCAACAAGTTTTATGGATAACGGATTATCAATCTCGAGTGAAATAAACCGTAAGTAATCCAAAACTCAGTAAGTCAAAATAGTCCAGAAAAAGTTTCACGATCACAAATCAGGACATCAACTCACAAATCAGGACATCAACTCAAGTCCATGAACAGAGTAGTATTCACTTGACTTCCATGAATCATGAACAACCTCATTTCATTGGTTAACTGAACATAGACACATGTGACTACTAATCACACTGCAAATCACACGTATGTATGCAGTAGTGTTGTGAACACAAAGCGTGTCAACTTGAAGCCCTGAATGTCGTACCTGGCCGATGATCTCCATCTTGGGAAACATGTCTTTCCTGCAACCAAATAAGACATAACATACAGTAAACATGGGATTATTATTTCTAATGTCATCATTGTCAAGCCAAACATGACGACACTAGCCAAGTACAGTCATAGCTCAACAATAGCCAATGAACCGATGCCACACTCGTCTAACATCCAGGAACTTTCATCTATCCCAGGCAGACCAGTTTTGTCACCATAAGGGACTCCTGGGATGTTTTTTGAAGAGTCACCTACACGAACAGAACAGATCAGATTATAAATATGCTCAGGTATTCTACTAAGTGCAGTTCCCCTACTTCTTTCTCAATGCTTTACCCCCCCTTCCATCCCAACCCCATTTCCATACCAACCCCCCTTCCATCCCAACCCCCCAGCCCTGTAAGCTACTGTCTGTTTCAGCCGTGTAAGCTCTGGGTATGGGGTCCATTTACTAGTGGTCTAGTGGTCTAGTGGATAGAGCATCTGCTCTGAGAGCGGATGATGGGTGGTTCGATCTGCATCATACCAAAAGAAGGTACTTGTTGTTACCCTGCCTGGCACTCGGCATTAAGGGGATAAAACAAGGACTGGACAGCTCAGGATCAGTATACAGTGTCTGAGTGGGGTACTCATGTTAAACTTTGGCATAGTATCTCAGTAGCCTAGCACTATAAAACCGACCTAGGTCCAAACTAGTAGAAGCAGCCACATACAAACGTGCAAGCACGTCGCAATGTAAGTGCAATAATCTTCAACACGATGTTACACCACATTTCACCTCACCACCTCTGGGTTTATTACTCTGGAAGATCCCCAGCAGGAAAAAATCAGAGCTTTCCCCCCCCCCAAATCCCCATACACACAAACCTTCTCTAACTCTGTAATTTGGAAAGAAAAATTTAACCCCTCTAAATCCAGAATTTTTCTTATCAGTGCATCCCTTGAGCAGGGATGTGAATTTAAAGGTCTCAAAAAGGTACAATCCTTATACAAGAGCTCCGACCTCGATATGAAAGGCCGGATCCACAAGTTCAAATCTAAGTATTACAATATAAATAACCTGGTATGGCCTAGTGTTGGTCAGGCCCCCTCGTACATACATCTAACAGAAGATAAACTGACTTTATTTCTCTCTGGAGCTCCTCTTCGGCAGACCTGTTGTCCAGGGGGGAAATCTTAGCTCGAAAGCTGCGGCTGAAATCTGTATTGCCATTCCCTATGAAAAAGAGAAGGTTTTCATACAACAGGACTATATTACATAAAGTTTATTTAACACATAACATATATTTGTAACATAGTGCCCCATGCTTGTCAGAAGAGACGCCTAATGAGCGTAGGTTACAGTGTGTGACCTGGATGATTGTGTGTTCACTGTTATTGTCATGCAACACTGGCTTCCACAGGCGATTTCGCTTGGGTGAGATATCTCCTGGTGATTACTGTTTGTAAGCTGAAGACCGCCTCCGTGGTCTAGAGGCAGAGCGTCCGCCCGGAGAGCGGAAGGTCCGGGGTTCGATCCCCGGCCGCGTCATACCAAAAGACGTTAAAAGATGGTACTTGTTGTTACCCTGTCTGGAGCTCGGCATTAAGGGACTAAAACAAGGACTGGTCGGCTCGGAGTCAGTATACTGTCTCAAGTGGGGTATTCATGTTAAAGTGCGGCATGGTATCTCAGTGGGCTAGCACTATAAATCGGCATCAGTCCGGACTAGTACAAGCAGCCACACACACACGTGCATGCACGTCGTTATATAAGTGCAATAATCTTGGACGCGAGGTTAAACCCAATTTCACCTCACCTTGTAAGCTGAAAAGTTGGAAGAATGATTTTGGATAATAAATAGAGTCTCACCCTCATGTCTTTTGATATCAAATATGTCAAAATCGGAGCTTTGGAGTCTCAAACTTTTATTGACTTGTGTTGATATACCTTACAGTCAAAAACACTCGAGTCTTCTCTATTTGAGCCATGACGTTGTTGATCTTAGCTCATGATATAGCCCCAGTATGGCTGCCTGCAGATAAAACTACCCTCACACAGCACAGCCTTTATAACTCATAGTTGGGTTCACTGGATGTATAAAATAAATGTAGCAATATGATCATGGTAAAGTTGGGTACAAAATAACTGTAACACATGAGGGTCAGCTCACAAAGTACTTTTTTTATGATCTGGGCCCCGTTCCACAAAGCGATCTTAGCGCTAAGTTGATCGTAACTCCCTTTCTTTAACACTGACTTACGACAGTCATAGCGCTAAGATCGCTTTGTGGAACGAGATCCAAGGACCCGTTCCACATAGCGATCTTAACGCTACGATTGTCGTAAGTCAAGGTTAAAGAAAGGGAGTTACGATCGACTTAGCGCTAAGATCACTTTGTGGAACGGGGTCCTGGTCAACAGCAACTTCCAATAATATGAGTGAAGTGTCTCGATTGGACCGATGCAATACTATAAATAAGACTATATAGCAATCAATAAACAAGATGCACTTGTGTTCATAGCATTTGTGTTCATTGAAAATTTAGACCTTGTGATTTTTGTTTCATAGATTGACATATTATTTGTACGTATTAAGGAAGAAATAACAATATGGAAAACTTCAGGACCGTTGGTAGCTATGCATTACTCACCATCTTGGTTTGTTCCATTCACAGCCTGTGTCCTGGCCTTGAAAGCACTGAAGGAAAATGAAAGTCTTCTCTCTCTTTTGCGAACCTCTTCTTTCTCATCCTAGAGCAAAAACACCACATCCAATCCACAGTTTGGCTTATTAGGCGTTTGAGTAAGTATTATCTGTGCAGCTGATATATACCACTTAAGAGTCATAACAGAAGAACTAAAGTCATATGAAAATTTTGAGAAGTATACTCTTAGCATGCTGCCATTTAGTCACTTAAAGTGCAAGTCTCATATGCATATACAAGTTTGCAGATTTGGATAGATCGTAAAATCGTTAATACAAATATCACATTGAAAACATCGAAAGCAGTGTGTTAATGTTCTGTCTATCTATTTCAAAGGCTGAATAAAAAATATAAAGGAGACCGAGCCTTTATATACAGAGGCTCCACACATGGTCTCAGAGGTAATTTCCTTTAGGATTACCTCCAAGATTGCATGCATGATTGGTTGCATGCATTCTCAGGGATGGAAATGAACGAAGACTATGTCCTAGCCACAAATGTTTGAAATTCTACTAGCCCTTAGGATACCATTAACATTAACAATAATCGTCTTGGCTAGCAGGCCAGTGCTAATTTCCATCCATGTATTCTCCATCTTTTCTTGTTTAGGGAGTAGTCTGTTTTGTACTTGAAGAATCTTGCAACATAATCATTCAGACACTTGACTATATTCAGCTGGATGAAGGGACGGTCAAAGGAAATAAGTAGACATATTAATATGAATGAAACAGCAGGTCAGATATGCATGACATGAGAGTTGATAGAGATGGCCTAGCACAAGACTACTCACATATTCCTGAAGTGTAACCTGACATCCATGGGGTAGTTGTGCATCATCTGGACTCTCCTGTGATGCTTCTCCTGAAAGACCTGCAGCTGCCAAATGTGATGCCTCTTCCTCTACATCTTCAACCTCCTCTTCCTCACCGGTATCTCCTTTTAATCTTGCCTTTCTGAACATCGAGGATTCTGACAATTCCTCAAGGTCTATAATCTCCTGACTTGAATGTTTTGAAATTTTCAGAAATGATGTTCTTGCATCAACAGTGTCTTCCTCACACTGAACGTACTCCAGATTTGTGTCTGGGACAGTAAAGCTGTCTGTCTTGGACCCTTGGCTGCAACATGTGGACCTGCTACCTTGAGAAGATGTGATCTGTTCCGGAACAACAATAACACAATCTGAGGACTGACTTGAGCCACCACCTTCAACCTTTGTTACATCCTTGGTACACTTCTGTTTAAAATCTGACAAAAAACTGTCAACATGTGATCCTCTTTCCGCACTCACTGGAGATGAAAACGAATCATCAGCTCTAGTTTTCAGAGATGGTGAGTGTGAGAGTTTGCTTGGGCTTTCTGTAATACCTGAGTCCGAATCTATTACAGATTCTGATTCCCCAAAATTTGGGGATTGTTTGCACAGAAAGTTTGAAAGAGAAGATTTACAAGGTGTAGTCTCCTCTGATTTGAACTTTGCAGGAAGACTTTGACTTTTGGGTAATGTCCATGTGTCAAGTCTCCTCTCTGAAAAAAAAACAGAATTCATTAACTTTACTTGATCCGTTTACAATTTACTTTGAAAATATAACAGTTACACTTGTCTATTGGAAAATGAAGACACTTCAAATGTTTTCGGTTTCACATAATACAGACCTAAGTCAGCTGCTAGCTCAGTGTCAACTGCAAAAGCAAACACTGACACCCTGGTGAAGACCTCCATGTGCAGGCTCATCCTGACATATCAGGAGCTGGAGTTAAGTCCTCATCACACAGTGACATCCTGGTGAAGATCTCCATGTGCAGGCTCATCCTGACATAATGACTGTAGGGGTGACAGTCAGGAGCTGGAGTCAATTCCTCCTCACCAAGTGACACCCTGGTGAAGACCCCAATGTGCAGGCTCATCCTGACATATCAGGAGCTGTAGTTAAGTCCTCATCACACAGTGACACCCTGGTGAAGACCCCAATGTGCAGGCTCATCCTGACATATCAGGAGCTGAGTTAAGTCCTCATTGATTAATAACATTTGGGGGTTAATATTCTGATGTAGTTCTCAATATTTCAGGGCCGGTGGGGTAGCCTTGTGGATGAAGCGTCAGCTTGTCACTCCGAAGGCCCGGGTTCGATTTCCCGCGGTGTACCCCGCCATGTAATTGCTGGAATATTGCTAAAAGCGCTGTAAAACAATCCTCACTCACTCTCAATACTTGAGTTTTGCTACAAATTGGAACTGAATACAACTGACAGAAAATGTAAACATAGTAAACAAGCTAGAATGCAGAATGCAGATTTTGACTGAGCAATTATTTAATACTCCGTCTAAGTAATTACCGTCTAGGTAATAACTAAGGCAGGTAACCCTTCATTGCCAATAATTGATCTACAACTGCTATAGGAGGAGGTCTCACGTTTTGAATGTTCTGGACTAGAAGTCTGAAAGTTTCCTGTCACGTCATCCTTTGCAAATGCGCTGGAAAACGACCGCTTTAGTTTGGACAGAGTGTTCACAAGTGTTGGCTGAAACATATTCATATTATAAAAAATTATATGAAACATTTGATAAAAATATCAACGTAAAAAAGACACAAGTGTAATGCCCCAAGACATTTGTCCCTGAAAACTGACCCTAAGGTTGGTTTTTTTAGTTTGACGCCGCACTCAGCAATATTCCAGTAATATGATGACTGTCTGTAAATAATCAAGTCTGGACCAAACAATCCAGTGACTGACATCATGAGCATCGATCCACGCACTTGGAATATGATGACATGCATTTACCAAGTCAGTCAGCCTGACCACCCAATCCTGTTAGTCGCCTCTTACGGCAAGCATAGTCGCCTTTTACGGCAAGCATGGGTTGCTGAAGACCTATTCTACCCCGGATCTTCATGACCCTTAGGAAACATGCACCAAACAAACTTTCTTCCAATTCAAACACATTTTTTATATTTTAGCTCTGTCTTCAGAACAGCCTGGGTGCACAGGTAGCCCAGTCATCTAAAGCTCCGTAATTTGGTGTGCAGAGTTGCATCCCTTGGGAATGCCAGAAACCTATGATTTCGGGTTTAAATCCTGGTCCACCCTGATTATGTTTCTAGGTTTGTCAGCACCAAACCCATACTTGTGGGGTTTTCCAAAGTGGTAAACGTCTCAGATCTGCAAAAGCAGCATCACTTCAGGCTTTCCTCCCACATTAAGCTGACACACCATTAAACCGGGTATAACGGGAATAAAAGTGGTGTTAAACCTAACTCACTCACTCACTCACTCAGAAACCTCATTCTCCATACCTAAAGGCAAACATAGGAACACAGTGTACTAGATATGTTATTTAAATATTAAATGTTTTTCCCAGAATATTATGTACAAAGACATGACTTTGCTTAGCATTGCTTAAGTACTTTCAAACAAAGTCTATACTTTAAAATGACGATACAACCATACCCTACTCTGCATCATTACCCACAGCCTGTAAGGGGCTTATCTTCAGTATGTACTTGCATACACACCGACTACCATGGCCATTAGGAAAGTTAATTCCGCTATGAATAAGTAACAGTATTCCAGTTATATCACGGCGTGTCAGCTTAATGTGGGAGGAAAGCCCGAAGTGATGCAGCTCTCAGACGTTTACCACTTCGGTGAAACCCACGAGCACGGGTATGGTGCTGACGAACCTAGAAACATAATTGGGACAAACCGGGATTCGAACCAATCAATCATAGGATTCTTGCACGCCCAAGGGACGCACCTCTGCACAGGGAATCGCCTTAGACGACTGGGACACCTGTGCCCAATAACTCCGCTATGAACAGTATTAGGTTACATCATGGAATGGCAGCTTGATGAGGGAGGAAAGACGATGCAGGCCTTAGTTACAGGGATGTATTTGGACCTGTTCATATGCTGTATAGTTATAACAAATGGGATGGCCTTGTAAGGTGACTTATATTACTTACTATGATAACAGGTCCAATAAAGATAATGTTTAACAAAAAACTTCTGTTTGACAACTTGCTTGCAAGGGCACTTAGTTAGGAGCCCTTGAAAAAATCATGAGCAGATGACCATATCGGTGGAAACCACAAGCATGGATATTGAAAGAAGACTCAAGTCGCCGGTAAACCCAAACGATGTTTACTTGTTCAGATCAAAACCATAACTGACAACACAACGGTATTACTATGATGACATCATCACAACACTCACACAACCATTCCAAACTACGTTAACATTGCGTTCTATGTATAGAAATACTTCCGGGTTTAGAGTTACCTCCCTTACATCAATATGGTGGCTGAAAAAAACAAGAATCATAATCAGGGCGAACCTTGAATTCAAACCCAAGTTCATAGGATATTGGCAGGCCTAAGGGACGCAACTCTGCACAGGAAAGTGCAGAGTCACAAATGGGCCAGCAGTGTCCTGCCGAGAAAGTTAAATGCTGCTTTCCTACCAATATCAAAACAGATGGCTTGCTGTTCTGGTACAAAACTCTAATCAAAGTTTAATGCTTGAGTGTGTAAATATCCAAACCTTTCCTATTTTCGGCCCTTCTGGTACCACCTGCAATGACCTGCAAACACACAAGGTTTCTTTTCACTCCAAAGTGTAGGGATCAAAATGATACAACTTCACTTTTTTTATGTTACCATGTCAAGATTATTTATATAATTGCTTTCATACAATTCCAGAAAATTAAGAAAATGTGTACCATTATTTTCTTGTTTACACACATTCTTGGGTACAAGTTTTGGGAAAACTAAACGTCCCCACTTGTTGACTGTCAATCCAATGCCATGACTGCAGCCACTGGGAATTAGTGGCAAATGAAGAAAATGGAAACTATTTACATTTACAGAGAGTTTTTTTTAGTATGTTTTGTCTGTTTCAGTTACCAGTTATTGCTCAATTTAGACAGGTTAATCATAAAACTTGAGTTAGCAGGTGAGATAAGTATTAGGATCATCTGATTTAATCTTTCTAAGACTGGAATGATCCTCAAACCAACCCCTTCTTAAAGTTTATTTATATTTCTACCATGAATTTGGAAAATATCTGATTCTGACTGGTCAGTTAGAAGTTTCAAATCACAATAACCACTTCTGAATAAAACAGCCGATTTGACCTCTGCAGTACCTCGGTAGCTGGTATTTAAAGTGAACGACTTCTTCCTCAATATCAGTGAACATTGTGAAATGTACTATTATAGCTTACAACATGCAGAAATGTGGCCACAATGACATTCAAAGTATGTGTGGCAAAATATTTAAGCCAGGAAGAGAGTACCAAATTTGCCGCTTCTCTATGACTGTTACATCATACCAAATGTGCAGTATGACGTCATACTAATAACATGCCGTGTACAACTAAACCCTGCACATTCGGTTCAATATTCAGTTGATATTTCAAATCTACAGGTAACCTAGCTCTACACTGAAAATACAGTACATTGATCTCCTGAACTGAATTCAACTGATATTTACCTGTCAGAGCCTGTGTCTGAACTGTCATCATCCTTGTCAGCTGGAAAACATCAGATCTCAGTACATTCTGAACACAGTACAGTTATAGTGGCAGAATCTATAGGATCTCTTACATTCAGTTACTGGTACTCATTTCTGATGGCTTGCTTACTCAGTGGGATACTTTTTTTATGTACCCTGTTGATAGGAAAGGTATAAATTACATATACTCTGCTGGGAAGTGCCGAACTTCTTACCAATGTTGACACAATGAAATGATAATATTATCTCGTAACTGAACACCTATCAGATGCACTTTAGCAAGGGAGATAACTCTGGACGAGTTTTTTCATCATCTGCTCGCTGTCAACATGTCTGTGAAATGGTTAGCTATCCACAGTGATAAGACATTTTAGATAAATGGGCAAGCTTGTGTGCCAGCTCGGGGTACACTGGCTATCACATGGGGTACATCACACCACATACCCCTCGAGACCGGTCTGCAACTAATGATATTTTACTTCAAATTTCTTGATAATCATCCTAATGTTCACTGTAAACATCAATCAATCTGTCTCTGCATCATGTTTACTATCATGGCATATCTTTCGACACATTTTCTGAGAATTAAAACTGAAGTTATAGCTAAATAGCAGTTACACCATCCACAAACTAAACCACATCACTGTTTCACTTTGTACATCATTTGACAAGACCCCTAAGTCTAGCCGCCCATCAACATATTCCTATTCCATCTTCAAATTGAAAGATTGCCCTAAAATTCAAAACATGAATGCCAGAGAATAACCAGACTCTGCTCTGCTTTATAGACGGGGTATATAAAGTAGCATCGATTTTGAGGACTTGTACAGGATGACAGGATGGGGAGGGGGGGGGGCTTAAAGTTTGGGTTGCTTTTTAGATGGCGATATTCAGTACCATCAAAGCAGACTCCATAGGGCACAAAAAGCAAAACAGAGATGTAAATTACATGAATGGATCACTGAATATCAGTGATGACCCCAGACATTTAAGCTCAAAGGAAATCAGCTTTGTCATCCCTGCATTGCCAAGTCCTGCTCCTCATCACAGAAAGTGGATTCAGTGCTATGACTGCACATCCCTGTTAATGTATGGGAGTTTCAACAGGCAGTAAGATCATCTCCGTGGTTAATTCAAACTAAGCCCTCTGTGTACCTCGGCTTGTGTTGAGAGTCATGAAGGTGTTGATCTTCAGTATGCTGGTAGTGGGTTCGAACATCTTCACCAGCGATGTCTGCAATACAGAGCCAACAGACATGGGGTCAGACAGGAGTCATTGGACAAACTGTGGTAAAAGTACTTCGTATAAAGAGGACTGTCTGATTACGTAGTCAGAATTGACTGCAGTTGAAAATAATCTAGTCTAGGCCCTGTTCCACAAAGTGAAATTAGCGCTACGCCTGTCATAAGTTTATGTTACAAAATGGAAGTTGCAATGGCTTAGTGCTAAGATGGTTTTGTGATTCGGGGCCCTTGTGTTAAGATTGCTTTGTGCAAAAGATCCCTGGAATAGACAAAACAGCGATTGACAGCACAGTCAGTTTCATGAATTAAGTGAGGACCTTGGCACTTTGGGGTTTGCTGCCATTGCATTTAAATCTAGGGACCCCAACATATTCAAATTTTAACATTTTCATGTTTAAATCAGATGGTGTAATGACGATGGTGTTTGCTGTTTAACACCACATTCAGCAATATTCGAGCTATAGGACAATCTGTAAATAATCGAGTCTGGACCAAACAATCCAGTGATTGACATCATGAGCATCAATCCACACATTTGGGATAAGATGACATGCATTAACCAAGTCAGCAAGTCTGACCACACGATCCCCTTAGTCGCCTCTTACGGCAAGCAAAGCATGGGTTGCTGAAGACCCATTCTACCTCGGACCTTCACTGTTGAGCAATGATAAGCCAGGTCCCACTTTGGAACCAGCCAACTCATTTCTAATGGCTATTGCAACAAGCACTGGGTTAAGCTTCAGGGTCCTCATGGAGGGTTAAGAGAAATGCTCACTGCCCATCACAATCTCACCTTGAGTGTTGCCAGCAGGAGTTTCTCCCCCTGAAGGAAGAGCTGTCTCTTGTCAGGGGTCACATTCACATCAACACTCTCTGTAACACCATGTACAATCAGTGCATGAATAAACATCTTCTAGGGTGGTCCTGGGGTACTGGGGACCTATCCTGTCAGGGTCCTCATGAGATACAAGTATGGGGTACTGGGGACCTATCCTGTCTGGGTCCTCATGACATACAAGCATTATATCCATACAATATAGGCCATCTATAAGCCATTCCAGAATGTTCTTCTTATCAGTTTTAATTTTTTTAATCGAGAATACGTCAAAATATGTTTCGAAGCGTAGTCGCCAGTTTGAAACTAGTGTCATAAAGCTCGAGAAAACTGTCTTCTGATTGGCTAATGTCGATTTCTTGTCATTCATTTCATTGGTCGGTCAAAATTCATGAAAGGTTGTTCTGACGTGACCCGTAATAGGATGTCCTCAGATCTTTGTTTAGCGGTAGCGAACACTAAGATCTGATTTTAATGAGATTGGGGGTACTGGGGACCTATTTGCCACGTATTCCCCATGGGAGACAAGTATGGGGTACTGGGAACCTATTCTGTCATGGAAACCCATTGGAGATGAGCACTGGGTATTGGAGACTTATTCTTACCTGGAATACCTATTGAGAAATGCATGGGTGTGGCAACATTACCTATGTTCTTGAAGTCATATGAATGATTCAGGAAAAAAATATTTTATTCATTACTTTCAAGAACTCAAAGAAGCCAATTATCAGAAGCCAATATTAAATAGTTTTTATTTTGAAGATACCTTATTAAGAATACATATGACTGTGAGGTAATCTTGTCAATCTATAGATAGATGAACTTTACAGGCAGAGATACAATAAGCCTTGTGCTTGAGTTTAGAAGTGAAATTAACAAACATGTTTGAATATAGGTCTCAAGGAGTGGGCATACAGATCTATCTGAAATGAAATCATGCAAATTCCTGTTGCTAATATATGGCTGAATAGGTAGTGAAGATACTTCTCACTGACCTTTATCCATAGTGATCGTAAGCACCACAAAGGGGTACTGATGGCGATTGTAGCTGTGGTAAACCTCATTGATCTGCTTGGACAGCTGGAAAGTGATAATGTATAGCATCTCAGCATCATCAGCACAATCAATAACATCCTATTAGCAAAGAAGTCAACACATGTCAAGGGTTTTACATCATAGTAGCCTTTCTGTGGAACTTGGTAGAGGGGCATTTTTGCCAAGAGAGTTATTCTCTTGCAAAATGGACACGATATCAAGTGAAAACGGGTTAGTGTGCATATTTTGTTGTTCCAGCTATATGACAATGGTCTGCAAATAATTCACTGCAGTTAGGTATGGGCAAGACATCTTCCAGGGCAATATGCCAAGATGCAAAATAAAACTGAGAGAAAAGTTTCAATAAACAGACATGATAGAAGTCCCAAACATGAGGGCGGTCGGGTAGGCTAGTGGTTAAAGCGTTCGCTCATCATGCCGAAGACCCGGGTTCGATTTCCGACATGGGTACAATGTGTGAAGCCCATTTCTGGTGTCCCCCGCCATGATATTGCTGGAATATTGCTGAGTGCGGTGTAAAACCATACTCACTCACTCACCCCAAACATGAAGTTTATTAACTGAACTAAATTTCTTCAAAACAATCTTGATGAAAAGGTTTTTATGAAACAGACGTTACAAAAAGAGAACATTTTCAATCTATAACAGCAAGTACGTTTTATATTTTTTCCAATTTTGTAAAAAAATGTGAACCAATTCCTAAAGCCTGACATGCATGAACCAAGTCAGCGAGCCTGACCACCCGATCCTGTAAGTCGCTTTTACGACAAGCATAGTCACCTTTTACGGCAAGCATGGGTTGCTGAAGACCTATTCTACCCCGGAATCTTCACGGGTAATTACACAAGCATGAGGCTTGACCTTACCTTTGTAGTGGTACACATTTGCTTAGCTTTGACTGAATTTAGTTCATTGATATGATAACTACATCTTACTGAAGACTCACATGGTTGCTTGGTTACAGGTATGCTTTACATGTTCTATTTGATTGTAATGTAATAGATGTATGATTCTATGAAACGGTTAAATGTTCTTTGTTCTTGATCTTACATAGAGTAAACCTGTCATGTTTTAAAAAGCTTTTGTGATGTGATTTCAATAAAAAATGTTCCTGAAACGGGTAAATAATATTTAGTAGATCAAGTGTACAAATCTAAAATAGAGCTATGACGTCACTTTATTGTTTCAACTGTAGATTATTTGTAACGAATAGACAGTTACTTGTGCATTGTCCTTATCTCAAACTTTACCCACATATTTGCTAAGATATGTACGCTACCTTGGCCGAGTCACATGGCCTCTTGTTGATGAAGATAAACTGTCTGTCAGTACTCCCCCTTCCCCGGCCATGCTCACACTTGGACACGAAGCCCTCGATCCTGAAACACACAGAGTATAAGATAAGAGGTGTCAAGATTCACTAATGTATTGATGCATCACAAATTTACCATGACTACACATCATGACAAATGATGTGAATTGCCATGAATCAGTTCAGGTCTTTATTCTGTGCTGAATTTTACAAAATAACATATGCAAACATTAGCTATCACCCGACTTACCACCTATCATCAAATAAAATGCTACATTGTATTATATTACTGGAACGAGGCAGAATAAACGTTAACGTTAAACGAACATGGGAAACGTCACACAAACAAAAAATTAAGTATCACAACCTCAGCGTTCCAGTTTACGGGTAATAACCAGTTTATTACGGGTAAAATTAGGCTTGGACCGATAATTCATGTGACTGCCAGTCCCTGTGGACCAGCAAATATAGAACCTTATAAATCTTTGTTGTTGAACAAAACATAGGTGATATTCATATAAGTACATTTTTCAAACAAAGTCAGCTTGTCTGTTACCATCAGGGTTTCCCCTGGTCTATTTCTAGATTAAATATCCATTTGTAGCGACTTCGCCTCGAAATATTAAAAAAAAGAGAGAGAAAATTGCAACTGAAGTTTGTGTGGATGACGTAAAGATCTAACTTAGTTACTTCAGAGATGACATCTTTGCACTGAACATGATGTTGAAAGAATTAAAACCAAATAATTTTCATACAATTTTTTTATTTGTTTAAAGTTGGGACTGAAATTAGGGGGGACTGGTAATTTTTAGAGTTGCCAGTCCACAAGGACTGGCAGTTACAAAAGCCAGCGGGAACACAACCTGTAGTCTGAAGGTCAATTCAAATCTGGTTAAGGCAATGTTGTTGTTGGTTGACGTGACCATTTTCTTAAAGCCAAGCCAAATTCTCAATAAGAGAATTTATTTCAAATTTGTGACATTTGGGGTTTTCAGATGAGGAATTAGAGTTTGACAGGCATTTAGAAGTTCGAAGAACATGAAGACTTAAAACTGTATATAGACAACAACTTCTAAATTGTTCATTACAAGGGTTACTTCTCGCCCTCGTAAGAGGCGAGTAACATAATTGGGACGTTGGGCTTGCCGACTTGGTTGATGCATGTCATCATATCCCTACCGCGTAGATCGATGCTCATGATGTCAATCACTAGATTGTCTGGTCCAGACTTGATTATTTACAGACCGTCATGATATAGCTTGAATATTCCTGAGTGTGGTGTTAAACAACAAACAGAACAAAACTTCTGGCCCTTCATCAACAGAGAAGTTGTTATCCATACAAAGTTTCATGTCTTTATCACGATAAATGAAATATCCACGTATTTTGACGATAGTAAAATTAAGACCCTACCTGAACAGGTCTTCAGAATAAGCTTGCGACTTGACCCCAAACCAGGAACACACCTCCTCTGTGGGCTCATGTTGTTTAAACTCCAACAGACTCTGCACCTGTTTGGGACCAAAGATGTTGGCGATGTTTTCTCTCAGCGTTGTGTTACCTTTGGTGGATACGACAGTTGACCGACTCCTGCAACGACAGTACCACATTAACATGTATGTTTTAAGTGGTCTGACCTAATTGATAATTTATATTTCAAAGTATTACAACTTTTGGATATCAATCTCAACAGTAAATGCTTCCAAAAACATTAATTTACCTTAAATATTCATCCTACTGATTTCCCTGACTAATATCCAACACAAAATACTGGTACATCTAATTTTCTCAAGAAATGTTTAATGTCCAACTCGATTAACTGTTATGACCATTTTGACATGAAGTATATTATTTTCAACCTCTCTGCCTACACATTTCATGGATCCATTTTACAACTTAGGTAATCATCTTCAACATAACAGCAGAATCCCCATTAGAATCACACATGAAGAAAAATGACAAATCTCGTTATTTAGAACTTGAACTTGAAAAAATGGGTATATAGATTCTTTTGTTGGATCCCAACTGCATCCTTCTTTATTTATCATCATATAAAACCAAATGACTAGATTTGTGTAAGTAGAAAATGAATTTTATGATAAACATTTCATTTATACTTATCTTGAATCATACTTATTTGCTTATCTCTTCTTATTCCCGAAATGTAGTGGAAACTCTTGTGCAGTGTTCCTAATGAACAGAAAACATCTCACCCAAACACACCCCTCTCAAGTACAAGTGCACCAGAAACTTGTGACGAACCAGTCTGACTCATCACTCTTCACTTTCTCTTCTATTTCTTAATTCCAAACACATCGGAGAGAGCAGGGTGCTAAAGCGTATGAGTCAGGATAAGTATTATTAACAATTATGTTTTTGACATAAAAAATCCATATTTCAGTTGTCTTGACTCATACTAATTTGCTTGAATCTCACTGTTAATCAAATATTCAATCAGAAAAGAAAGATGATTAAGTATTGCTTGGATTACATGAACAATTCCCAACCAGCTAGCTGGGGCAAAAGTTAGAGAGTGATGAGTGAGATGTTTTCTGTTCATTTGGGAACACTGCACAAGTGTTTCCAATACGTTTCGGGAACAAGAACAGATACGCAAACAAGTATGTGTCAGGATAAGGTAAAATAAAAAAACATGATTTTCACTGTACCATTTCTTGAATAAGTATATTTGTAAAATAACAAAAACATTAACCTACTTACCCTTTCCCAGCCTGGTTAGTACAGGAGATCCTGACCCCGGTCGTCACCAGACAATAGGCATTCAGCACCTGGATCATCTTGGCGAACTCCTTCTTCAGACTTCGCTGGAACTCGCGATGTCGCACTGGCAGTGTTGAAAACAGGTTTTGTAGAATTACGGTTGTTCCTTTCTGAAGACATGACAGAAACATTGTCAATTAATTCAACAGGCTCTTGGAAATAATAGGTAAACTATGTAACAATCAGAATAATTACTGGCAAAATTACCATATTCGAAACACAACTGAAATAAAAGCTCTTACTATTGGTTGAAATTGTTCTATATCGAAATAGGTTGGAGTAGGCTATTGGAGTGATTGCATGGGTGATTGGTTTCTGGCGTGCCCAAGGGACGCAACTCGGCACAGCGAATCGCGGCGCCTTAGACGACTGGGCAACCCATGCCCCCATGAGTGATTTTGAAAAGGATTCCAATTATATCATGGCATGGCAGCTTCCATGGGAGGAATGCCCAGAGGGATGCAGGTCTCTTCACCCCTTTGGCGAAACCCACGAGCATGGGTATGGCACTGACAAAGCCAGAAACATATTTAGGGCGAATCAGGATTTGAACCCATGATCACAGGTTACTGGCCTGTCCAAGGGTCACTACTCTGCACAGCGAATTGCAGCGCCTTAGACGACAGGACCAACCGTGCCCCCGAAAATGTCCTGTATTAGAATAGATGTTAGACTGCTATTGGAACCATAAGAGGTTGCAGTTGGTAGTTTATTTAGTACAAGGACCAAAAAAGACCCAACTACAACATTACTGAAAAAACAGAGCCTGAATGCAAGGTCGACATTGCTAGCATCACATTCAGTGACTACGATAGTCACTACTACTGTAATAGTGATGATGTTGTCATAAATTGATTTAGGTCAGTGAGTGTTGGAATTATATTTTTTTTGCGATGTATGTTACTTTTTGATCAGTGTCAAATTTGGATTGTAAATTTTCAATTTCCCAGTGTAATGTCACTGTCAGATGGCTGAAGTCAAGTTTTGTCAAGACCCTCCTCGAAAATGTCTATTATTTTTTAGGACAATACCCAAGAGACTCAAATATTTTGGTGGCCCTAGATGACCAGTCCCTCATTCAGCCACTGTTGATCAGTCACACAGGTGAAGTTTGTTTGTTTGTTTGTTATTTAACGATGCATTCTGGAATATTCCTGCTATATGATGGCTGCCTATAGATAATCAAGTTCGGACAAGACAATCCAGTGATTGATCTGGTGAAAACTATCCATGCATTTGGGTCCAAGGACACGCAAGCAACAAAGTCACCAAGCCTGACCACCCAATCCATTTGGACTCCTCTGACGACCCTTACCTTAAGTCACAAAATTTAGTAGGGTAAAAAGAACTTAGTTTTCTTGGTTTTTTTACTTAAGTTTAGAGGAAGTCATAAGTCATATTTATCAAAAGATTTTGGCTTAAGTTTTTTCTTATATCAAAACTAAGTTGTTTGATAAATACGGCCCTGAATCCCCACGGGATAAACAGATGAAGTATTGCCATTAGACAAATAGAGAATCTCACCCGAGTGTCTTTTGATATCAAATATATCAACACGAGCTGATAAAAGTGGAAAAATTCCGAGGCTTGCCAAGGATTTTTGCCACTCTTACCAACGAGTGTTGATATATTTGATATCAAAAGACACAAGGGTGAGATTTTATTTATCATCCAACATCATTCTTCCAACTTTTTCAATTTGTAGACAGTAATTAGCGGTGTCTTAAGTGTAAGAAGAACTGCTTACAGCTTCAGTAGCAGAGCCATTAGTGATGTCATTTGATTGTGACGTCATGGTAACCAGGCAGTGACGTCACAATGGTCTGCAAAGCATTGTGATGTAGTTTCATTGCAGCGATATCTACAGTGTAGATATCGCTTGATCTAATCCAAGCGATATCTCCTGTGGTAGCCAGTTTTGGATGGCAATTTGTCTTATCAATCAATGTAACCTCAACATGTTGGTAATATGCAGACAGTCTCAGACATGACCAAGTTTGTTACAATCCAGAGCATGGAGAACTTCAAAAAGCACCTTTTGTTTCCTTTCTGGGAAAAACATAACCATATTTGATAAGGATGCGAAAGGGCAAAATGACATCGAACAGCAACAGTTAGTTATGAACAGTATTGTTTGAGCTGCCGGTCATAGGGAGGTGAAAACTTTCACTGCCACACTGACCTGTCTGGGGCATGGTGCCCTGCTGCAGAGTGTCCCATGATGGTCAAACTCCAGCCTCGTCCCAACACTCGCTTCCTCATGACAGGTAACAACACTCAGCTTGCTGAAGCAGACATCACCACATTGATAGCACAACATAGGGAACTGTATGGCTTGGTTTAACATGGTTTGGGAAGGTGCGTGTTATATTTCAGCCAGCTTTGTTGGAGAAAAGCCCTAAATGATGATGTTGACATTATCATCATCGTTATCATATGTTATACATTTAAATACCTCACTTATCCAAGTAGTGGTGTCTGCTCACATGCAGTTTATTTATTCCCGACCAGTGGATCCATATGCTTTCCAGTTATCATTGGTGAGGTGAGGTGAAATGGGGTTTAACGTCGCGTCCAAGATGATTGCACTTATATAGCGACGTGCATGTGTTTGTGTGGCTGCTTGTACTAGTCCGGACTGATGCCGATTTATAGTGCTAGCTCACTGAGATACCATGCCGCAGTTTAACATGAATACCCCACTCAGACACAGTATACTGACTCCGAGCCGACCAGTCCTTGTTTTAGCCCCTTAATGCCGAGCTCCAGACAGGGTAACAACAAGTACCATCTTTTAACGTCTTTTGGTATGACGCGGTCGGGGATCGTACCCCGGACCTTCCGCTCTCCGGCGGACCCAGTTATCATAGACATTGCTACACTAGTTAAGGCCATGAACCTTGGGCAAACAGGCCCAGGATCTAATGTGGACAAGCTCATAACAAGCAGATCCTGGCATACCTAAGGGACAAAACTCTACCAAACTTACTAAGTCTATGACCATATGTTTCAGATACATGTTAGATGAATAAATTTGCCAGTCAGTTTTTAAAACCTATTGAAGACAAAAACAATACCCAAAGTGACTTCTTTTCTGTTGGATTCTCTGTTAAAAAAACAAGAGGGTTTTTCTATTAAAATATCTCAATGAGCAATTCCTCAAACATGAATGTCGGGAAAAAGATTTTCTTTACAACGAGAACTGCTGCAACATCAGGCAGCTTTTTCCAAAGTCAAGGAGGATTGTAACCATGGAAACCGGCCCTGAAACCAGTCAATACTGACAAAAAAACAAACCTCAAAGCACAGAGAGAGCTGAGAGCCTCCCCCCTAAAGCCAAATGTCTCCACTCCAACCAAGTCACCGAAGTCCTGTATTTTAGATGTGTGGTGTTTCAGAGCTGTAAAAAGAAGAAGCAAGGTACGCTGTATTATCGCAGCAGTTCATTTATAATGGATCATAATGGCATATGCTTACTAACCTATAAAATATGTATAAAGAAAATGGTATTATGTCATGAGTTCAACTTTTATTACACATGAATTAGGCTTGGTTGATGCTGATTTTCTTTAGCGAGATCGGTAAATAAAAAATGCGCCATTGGTGACTCAAGGGGAGACAACTCTATTATTGCAGTATCGCTATTGTTAGGTATGACACGTGTGGAATAAGCGCTTTACATCACTTCCTGTTATGAATTATGCATAATCATTATGCATACGACCTAGGTTGGGTCAACAGACATCATCCAAACAAATGTGTTCTTTTCTAACCAGTTTCGAGGGCGGTAGGGCTAGATGCCACTTCAAAACATTTCAAAACTATTTTGAACAAGTTAATATGTTTACTTATGAGTAGCAGCGAGTCCTGTGTGCAATCAAGCAATCAAATATCACACTAAGATTTGCATAAGTAACCAGTCTTTAAGTAACCAGATTACAAGTCTTTCTGATACCGCAATAATATAGAGTCCAAGTATAATATAATATTACACCAGGCCCTTGAAAATCTGTGTCATTCCACAGGTTCTATAAGGCAGGATGTTTACAGTATGTGAAGTACAGACACTTTCATTACAAGTGAGTGAGTCTGTAGGTGTACAGAACTGTTATCTCACAGTGTGTTATAAGACTAAGTAATTCAGGTCCTAGATGTTTACCCCTTTGGTGAAACCAACAACCGCTGGTATGGTGCTCACTAAAATAGAATCACAATCGGAGCAAATCTGGAATTTGAACCTTCAGTCATCGGATTCCGGTAGATATGTGCCAGGAAAGAAAAATCAAACGCTCTACAGAAGCCATTAGTATTGTGTATGATATACTCCTGTACTAAACATGGTCAACTTACTGAGTCCCTCAAAATTCTTCTCCTCCACTCCAGATCCATTGTCACTGACCTCAATCATTTCACTGCCATACTCTTTCAGTTTCACCTCTGACAAAATACAAGACAAAAATAACTCTTACATTTAGAGACAGAGACTGCCAAGTATATCAATGTTGAAGATAGGCGTTTGAGAAATATGTTGTCTTCACTTTCTAAAACTGAACATGGTTACAATTATTGCATATTTTGTCAACATATCATAGTGATTTCAATCCCTTGACTAGAGATAGGCACATCAGTTCCTCAGTCATGTTCATGCGGAATGTTATGTCTCGTATTACACAAGAAATGGGTTGAGCTAATGAAATTATAATTACAACCCATGATAAGCTCATGAGGTTTGAACCAATATATACTTGTTTTACAAATGTTTCCCCAAAACACCTGGAGGGGAGAAAACAATATAAATAAACATGATAAAAGTCATGTCTTAACATGTTTAAAAACAAAAATTCAAAAATAAATTTATTTCTGAATTCTTCCGGTCCTTATCATTTTTGTTTACAAGACACAACCATATTTTTGGTTTCATGTTTTCGAAAGAAAAAGCTTTCCGTTTATTCCAAGTGTTTACTTGAGAGACCAGGAAAGAACAGACAAGGTGAAAGTGTCATTGTAACCTTAAATTTTAATGAAAAAGCTTGCAACACTTAATTGTTTCCTGTTAAAGTTTTTGTTTGGAAAAAAGCATAAAAGTGACAGGGGGATCTGAAAAACAATGTAATTAAACTGGTCTGGCATATAACATATACCGTATTCGATGTAATAAACGCCCCACTCCAATAAGCGCCCACGGCGATATTTGTTAATATATTGGCTAGTGAACAATCCCAATTAGCACCCCTTCCAATTGATCAATGTACACAAGACTTATTTATTTGTGTATAATACGCACTCGTGTGTTATATGCACCCTTAATTATGGGCAATTAAATTCGGGAAAATATATCTGTCGTGTATAATATATGGGGTCTTTTCTTTTGTATCATTTTAGGCTGTCAGCATAAACCACGAAATTTATGATCTTTCAACTCTGTTTTTTTTTAAACCAAAATTATATTCTAATAAGAGCCCCCTATTTTAATTTTGAAAGCACCCTGGACGCTTATTACGTCACATACGGTACATTCAATAGCAATGATATGATATACATGTATTACCAACACTTGTTGCTTTGGCATCTACGCTGTTTTCAACCAGTTCCTTGACGGCGATAGCCAGAGTAAGAACGACTTGTCCTGAACATATTCGATGAACTGATCCTCTGTCTATAGCCTGGATGGATCCTGCTTTCTCAGTTGTAGCTTCAGGGCTGTTGGAGCATACATCAATGTTATTGCTGATTGTTTTTTTAAATTCATGATTTTCATCTGTCATAGAATGTAGAAAAGTCATCTTTCCAGCTAAATTAAATTATTACTAAGTATCACAAGACTGTCATCAAGCTCTTTCTAAAAGGTAAGGATGATGAAAATATTGTGATGTTTGGACAGCCGATATCTGGGCCCAATCGTGCCCAGTGACACACGGATGAGATGTAGTAAAATGGAGTTTAATGTCACGTTCAAGATTATTGCACCTATATAACAGCGTGCGTGCATATGTGTGTGTATTGACTATATAGCAAAAATAAAGTTGGAGCATTTTTTTGACATTTTGTCTGACTAAACTGTAATCACACTTTTGTTTGATAGAATGGATACTAGTATATAAACATACATTTTATTGCACATTTGCTTCCCTTGAAATCTATTTTTGTGCAAGAGACAAAATTGCCCAATCCGTGATCTAGGAATCCCCTGGGCCTCATGGAGCGGTTGTAGCAAGGTCGTGCCCACGAAACCTATCGTAATGGTCAAGCTGGGTATTCCATTTAAACAGACCAATGTTTTAGTTCAAATAGACAAGGTATAGTCAGAACAGAATAATTGATAAACCGACCCACAATATTCTATGTTTTTCATATTGATAGTATAGGTTAGTAAGTGTATGCCATTACAATCCATTATAATAACTAAAGTGACAATATAGCATACCATGCTAATGTCATTGTTTAATGTTAATATTTAGTTGTCATCGTAATCCATCCCTATGACATATCCCTATTATATCATTAACATGTTCCACACATGCATCAGCATATTCACTTCACGCATACACCTACTGTGACACTGTATTAAAATACTGAAACTGTGCAAACACTGTAGAATACAGAAAGATACCTGACGTCAATTTATGTAGAGTACGTAGTACCTGTGCGGACTACCCCGATAGCTATATGTTTACTATATCAGTATATACATATGTATACTGTAAACAGCGGTAAATAGGATCACATATCGCTTACAAACGTGCAACTCAGTCCGCATGACATCACGATCTCAATTATCAAACCCTTCACTAATGCACACACGATTTAGATCAATAGACTAAATGGTCGTAGAAACATATTTGATATATTGAATAAAACGATACCAATTCGTTTTATTTAATCGACAACAAGCATGAAGCCGGCATGAACCAAGCATGTGCTTAAAATATAATTAGGTTGCGAAATACATCAAAAGTTTGCCTTACACGTTGGAAGTTTCATCTGCAATATAATCAGTTTTCTCTTTTTCGGCCATGTTGATTCTCCCGCTTTTGAGAATTCATTTCGGAACACTGACATTAAACTATTTTTGCAAAATCATCATATTTAAGTTAACTCCTAAACAGTAGTGTTTAATGATTACAAGTTTATGTATAAATGGATATGATTTAGTACCACAACGTAGCAACATGTCCATAACATACTGGATTACAAAATTATTAAACGACTTGTCCCTTTCAGATAGTAAACTTCAGACTTGGAGAGCCTTATCAAGTATTTGAAGCACTCTTAAAATAATCTCTGTCCACAAGTGGACAAACAAGGGCGGACCCGGCATTTTAACAAGGGATGGGTCCAAAATATCCAAATCCTCTCTCAGTCAATTCACTGGTTACAATATACTACAAATGGTTTTCAACGTGAGGGCTAGATCCCCTGGATCTGCTTATGAGAATGAGGCAATTCTTTCAGAACTTTTAAGGACTTCACATTAATCACAGAGGAGGAGATTCATTCCTGTGTGTATCATAAATGTATGTTAGTTGGCCACAAACGCACTGGTCAAAATGATCAAATGAAAAAGTAAAAACGGCCGAACTAAAAAGTAAAAATAACAATGTCAGAAAGACCATTCCTTCAAAATAAACCAGACTTTTTGACGTGTCTTATACACATTTTTTATTACCATAAAGAGTGCTTTACGTCCAGAACACGCAACTGTTGAAATTAACAAAGTGTAATTCTCATTAATATGAACACATCTGATAACCTCCATAACAATATCTAACTGTTTAGCTGAAGCTGGAGATCACGTGGGCCAAAGAGGGAATGACTTCCTTGTCACGCCTTGTCCTGTAGTTCTTCTTCACGAATCTGAGAAGGTGAAATTGAACAAAATAAATAAGACGTTTATTCAGGGATAAATGAATTCAGACCTGAATGAGTACATGTCTATTTCAAAAGTTTTCCTGTGAAATAACTGACTGATCCTATCTCGCATGCCACGCATGTTAAAATAAAGAACCCACCAAGTGTATTTGTATTGAGATATAGGCCATATACATTGTACGGTGAAAAACATAACAATCAAAACAAAATTTAACGTCGTTGTGCCATCCACACGTAAATAATACATATATTTTGGGGTTGGTTCGTTTACATCAGATAGCGCGTGCGTGCGTGCGTGCGTGCGTGCGTGCGTGCGTGCGTGCGTGCGTGCGTATTCTGCGCGTGTATATATCTTCTATAAGTCATGGCTTTATATACTAGAGACTTAGTACTCTTTTCTGGTTGTAAGTCTAAGTTGCATGTCAGATACCCTGGTTTTATATAGAACTGTTACCTAGCGTATTCCTCGAATTCTGAACAGCACCATTTATCAGATTTTAACTGATTTATAAAAACAAAATTTCCCCCTACATCTTGCTAACCCAGGATGCTGCATATTGGCGTACTTACCTTGTCCGGTCGTATGAACCAAGCTAAACATCGTATAACAGGCCTCTTTTTAAATTTATTATTTAATATAAAGAAATTATATCCATCATTTAACTACCTTGGACATCTTATATATTGTTTAAAGAGGCGCTTAACAAATCTCACTCACTCACACTTCTTGTTTATCCTTATGGCAGTGAAGATCCAGATTAGAATTGATCTTCAGCAACCTATGCTTGTCGTAAGAGGCGACTAACAGGATCGGGTGGTCAGGCTCAGAGACGTGCACGTGGTTGATGCATGTAATCGTACGCAAACTGCGTCTTTCGATGCTCATGATGTCAATCACTGGACTGTCTAGACCGTACAAAATAACGTACCCCAAAAAGAATCGGAATGCATAAATTCCATGGAATTATACCTACTAAAAATTATCAAACATATTGATAATGTAATTAAGCCACTGGTACAATGTCAAATAATAATTCGGAGAGTTCAGAGGCAATGATGTGCACATACATATTCATAATAATCTTAACAGACAAGGGCGATCGGGTAGCCTAGTGGTTAAAGCGTTTGCTCGTCACGCCGAAGACCCGGGTTCGATTCCCGACACGGGTACAATGTGTGAAGTCCATTTCTGGTGTCCCCCGCCGTGATATGCTGGAATATTGCTAAAAGCGGCGTAAAACCATACTCACTCACTCACTTAATAGACAAATAATCAATGTAGCGATTACTGCCATGTATTATTCGCCTCACAGGTTTTGCTTCGGTCATTACTGATCTCTTTATGCATATAAATTGGAATTTCTACTCCGATTAGCAAAGTTATAACAAATGGTTTTTAGCCAAGAAGTTACTTATTTAGTTTCAGATATATCATTGATATCTTTCAAAAATGATCAAATCCTATTCCACTGATTTAATTAACTGAACCAGAAATACAAGAGACCAGTGGAACCACCTCGTCTTTTTTCATATTTAGATCTATGCATACATAAAGATTCAGAGTGACAAAATACTCCCCACAAGACTTTACGACAAGAAGGATGAATTCAACGTTCCCAAAGTCAGCGTTTCTTGTATGTCCTGCAATATTCCAGCAGCCCCAGCATTGGATGTCACAACCTGAGGTACAATCGACCACGGTCTTTCTCCCAAGATTTAAAATAGCGGCCTAGGATTCTTGCTCAGAGGTTGTTTGATCAGAGTTGCATCATTCAAGACCTCAGCAGAACTTTCCAAACTTGTTATGGTTGAAATGTGGAGAAAACTTCCAAACTTGATGCATCAATGACAAACATTATATCCCATACAATTTCCTATTTGGATTTGTACCATATGTTCACGTGTTGTATTTGGTAAAGAATTGACTTGCCTTTGCATGTATTTGTGTCAGGATACTCTCAACTTTTAGCGAAATCCTGGTATAACCACTATTTGATAGTGATTCATAAACACACGTCATGATACAGTCGGATCTGTACAATGGACAAGAGATATCTAATGATTCATAAACACACGTCATGATACAGTCGAATCTGTACAATGGACAAGAGATATCTAATGATTCATAAACACACGTCATGATGGACAAGAGATATGTAATGATAACAGAAATGGTTTTATCACTTTATTTTGTCTTAACTCTCAAGGGCGGTCGGGTAGTCTAGTGGTTAAAGCGTTCGCTTAAACTCGTCACGCCGAAAACCCGGGTTCGATTCCCGACATTCCCGGCGTAAAACCATACTCACTCTTAATTCTCACTCAGTGGCATGTTACTCCGAGGTCATAATCATTAAAATGTCAAATAATACAAAGAAAAGCAATGTAGACCAAGTAAAACTAGTTATCATTAATGGCTAAAACTTTGTGACCATCGTGGACTGTCACTTAAACACGACATCGTGGACTGTCACTTAAACACGACATCGTCTCAATCTGTTCCTCTTCCTCTCAGATTCCAATCAGATTCTCTGCAGATTCTTATCTGAAATATAAAATTAGATTGGCCACCTTTACTAGTGGATTGTTAAGGTAATGTGGCAAAGATAGACCTGTGAAACTATCTGTGGCATCGCATTCGTAACAGCAGGTTGTCAACTTTATGGGGTCTTGCGTACATCCCTTAATTGAACTCATTCGGCGATGACTACTGGAGGTAGGAGCTACGCGTAACACTCAGCGTAAGCTTGGTGAGTGTTTTATTATATTATAATAGGACCGATGACACAGTATAAACTTAGGCTCGTGTAACTCATCGTGAAAGAGGGAAGTTGCTATTTATAAAAGTTTAATTATGACTTAAGCTTTGCAAAATTACAAGAACTAGCACAATTGCATTCCAGGTATAGATCTTCATCCGTTTTACGATAAAAACATTTCATAAAGTACTTCAAAATATCGGTTTTATTATTTTCAAAGTTCGTAAAAAACTGAATGTTTCCTGTCGTACATGTGTTTTCATTAACAAAACATGAAGTATCTGTAGGTTTGCTCGTATACGAACGGATATTTTTACAATAAAGCTGGCTCTAGTTTTATGGTACATCATAACCTAAAAGGGCCTCTAACGAGGAACTAGAAAACAAGTCTTCAAAATGTGACAATGGATCGAGTGGTCAAGCTCTGTGTTTTCTTGTTCAGATTCCATTACTTACAGGCCACGGTCATATAGCTGGACTATTCCTGTGTGAGGCGTAAACAACAAACAAACAAACATCAAAAGAGGATAACCGAGTAATCAATGATGCTTTAAGAAAAAATGCACATACAGACACAAAAATGAGTTCAGGCTCCATAGGAGTTGTATCATGTATAAGATCTGTTGTCAAAGCAATACATCTGGAGAGTAGTGTGTGGGCGGTACATAGCTGATGTCAATAATAATTCGTTATATTTAATCTAATTGATTGATATAGGTATAATTAAAGAAAGTCATCGACTGATACCCAAAGGCTGGAAGACCTATAGAAACACGTGTTATAACTACCAGTTGGAACGTTGACGTTGAAAACTCTAAAACCAGCTTTATAATGTACGCATCCTTGAGGGGAATTTAAAAGCAGCACTTGTTATGAGCGTTCGATGGCTTCTTTATGTATTTGATACAGTTTGACTCAATTCCAAACAGGGCACTGATTAAAGTGGCCAGATAGAAATTGTTTCTTACATGAATAATTGACATATTTTAATAAATAATAATCATAAAGAGCAATAAATCCCAGCCTTGCATTAAGCGCAAACAGCAGGGCAAAAAGAAGTATACACCCATGTTTGATGGTGGTTAAAAATGAAACGAACAAGAAATGGTTATTGAACGATGATGTATTTGTTACAGGTACCATAGTTGTGTTTTAGACCTCAAGTTTGCAGTTTTCGTCGGCTGTTGTGAGCCTTGTAAAATTTTGATAACTTTAATAAATTTTGTTGTTGTCATATCCAATTTCCAAGAAAATGCTTTCTTTTAGCCGGCAGTGTACATACATGTAAATGTTCCGAGTGGTGACGCCTCTAACAAGGAACTACGCCTAGGACAGAAGCCTATGGCCATGTTGCCGCTGAGACGACGCAGGTCTGCTGTACAGCTGATCCTTGGTTGCATGGCTCTGATAATTCTGATGATCCAAATACACACATCAGAGCGCCAGGGATACACATCACACAATGAGACCACAGCTTCTGACACATGCCCGACTGCCACCCGCTTCCTAGATCGGCCCATGAGGCTGACAGTGTTGGCTAGCTACCCTGGGTCTGGCAACACCTGGCTTCGGTACCTAATAGAGAGGATGACAGGTAAAATACGTTTCATAACGAGGGGTTGTGGTAAGCCTTAATTGTGTTTTCAGTTCCTCAGTCAGTTTGATCGAGGTGGGTAACATGGTTTGTGTTGAATTGTTTACAACTGGCAGTTGCAGTTTTGTCAGAAAACGGTTATACAGTAAACTACGGTTATAACGAACTCAAAGGGACTACTAATTTTAGTTCGTTATAACCGTAGTTCTTTATAAGTACATACACAGCATGACTACAGCAAGTAGTCGGGACCAAAAAGTAAGTTCGTTATATCCGTCAGTTCGTTATAAGCGTGTTCGTTATAACAGTAGTTTACTGTATAGGCATATATCAACTCACAGTACTGCTAGTACAGTGAGAGTTAGTGAGTGAGTTTTAACATTATTACATACTTCAGTGTGAGTTTTCTTAAGTTGAGAAAAGTGATATATTCATTTCAGTGAACATAACTCTTGATATTTCACCACAGTGAACCTAACACGCTGACGAAACTATTGTCATACAAAAGTTACCTCCCATCAAATTGTCTCCCTTTATCGTAAGTGTCTGACCCTTCACAAACTGTTGACGTCCTTTTTGCGTTAGTTCCACTTTGACAAGGCAAAATAATGACAGATTGTCGTTTATGGAGATAATATCACTTCATGCCGTGTGTTATTCACTTGAAAATGTTTATAAAACCGTAAATTTCTCATTTAACTCGTTAATCGAGACCGTTCGCTTCGCAAAGCGCCATTTTTGTTACTTGATCAGCGCGTGTATTCTTTCGCTTCCTACAGCGGTCTCGTAGTTTTCAAGAATACTTTTTGCTAAAGTTGATTTTGTATATAATCATATCTTTATGTATGATACAGAACTTTCGTGACTCTAACTGTTTTTTGTCATTGTATATTTTTAAAATTTTGCAAACACGAAACTACTTTTTTAGTTGCAAATACAAGGGGTGGTGAACTGTCCCAGTATGTTCGTTGGGGAGAATTTGAAAGTATATAATAAAAAGGATATTTTATGTGTCTAGTGAAATATCATGTTACTCTCATCGAGTGACGGGGGAAATGAGATATTTACACGAGTGGCGTATCCTCTATTTATTTCAGTTATCTTTGTCATAGATCACGTGTCTTGTTAATCTGTGTCGTCTCAGAGGGCATAATGGCCATGGGGGTTCTGTCCCAGATGACAGATTGACTATTTATATTTACAGGTTACGCAACTGGCTCCAACTGGTCAGATAAACAGTTGTTAGAGAAAGGCTTCATTGGTGAGTTTGTCCGGAACAAGACGACCATTGTTGTAAAGACCCACAACGACTACAGTCCCACAGCCAAAGCCTCGGTGGAATCCACGAACAGAGTTATCCTGTTGTTGAGGAACCCGTACGACACTCTCCTAGCTGAGTTTAACCGATACTATACGGGAGGGGATCATGTTGCATATGCTTATGTGTCAGCATTTATCCAACGTGAGTATATACGTCGTAATGTTGATGACGTTTGTTTCGTCTACAAACTACTCGTAGGTCATGACACAAAGCATCACTTTGGGGGACCCCTTCTAGATTAGTGTAGACCTGAAACTAAAGAATAAGGATACTTAAGGCTAAGGGTCACGTACTTGAGTGGGTAAATGAACGTTATTATACACCGCAGTTAGAAATAATGTTAATTATCATGACGTGCCTTGTTAATGATAACCATTAATGGATCTTAAAAGAGGAGTTATCAGGGGCCAACCATTTGATTTTCGGGTAATGAGAAGGGCTATGAGAGTTGGGCTGTCATTTTCTTTTAAAGTAATATGTTCTCGAAAATCCTGGAAAAACATAATGTTTCCTCAGATTTAATTTTAAAAATAAGAAATCGTTTAATGGACATGCTGTGTATTTTAGTGAAAAGAATTTGGCTGATCCCTTCAAAGAAAAACAGTAATATGTCTTGCAGCGCTGAAATATGTCCTGTTTCCAACAATCCGCCCAGTATCCTCATCATCACCCTTTAGAATATTAAATGATCAGCTGGCCCTTGATTAGATTGACAAACGACTGAAGAAACCGTATTTCCTCTAAGGCGGGGAAGAATAATTCTCAGTTTCTTCGTTACACATTTATTAAGGGCATCCTGCATGTTCAGCGTGATAAAACCTGAGGCCAATTTTTTTTTTCCCCACAATCTGGAGCAAATGATGTTTTGTCGCAACAATCTCATCCTTCAACCTCCAAGTCCAACCCCACACCCAACCTCACCCCACAGCTAACTACACATCCCCCCTAAACCCCCACGGACTCCTTCTCCACCTCTCCCCTTGTTCTCGTTTCCAGTCATAACACCTAAGAATAAAGTTCACACACATTCCTATTGTACATTTTATATTCATCCAAGATAACATAACTGTACTAAACAGTCTCAGGTGCTTTAGTTTTGGTCAAACTAATACTAATTTGGATTTGGATTTTAGACTGGAACAAATTCTTCGAGGATAGTTTAAAGAAGTGGCAGCCATATTACAGCAACTGGCTACGGTGCCCGGATGTGGAGGTCGTTCTGTTCGATGACCTGAAGGGGGACTTGAAGACCCAGCTGTCTCGTATTAGAGACTTCCTAGACGACGGGTCGCTCAAAGTTAACGTAGACTGTGCTCTCAAAAACAATGAAGGCAACTTCCGAAGAGACAGGTCTTTCCAGCCCCATACCAACTTCTTCTACGATTATACAGAAGTTGGGTCTGTCAACAAAGCTATTGACACTTTACAAACTGATCTAATACACAGATTTCCCCACCAGAACATCAATATATCATCTTGGAAAATTAAATTTGGATTTTATAAAGGCTCAAAAAATGCATCTTCGGGAGAATGATATTGTGAATACAATAGATATATCAGGAGAAATGTGTGATTCGCTTAAGGGTCACAAGTAGTATTCACAACAAATATACATCGCCGTGTGTCCATCACAGAAGTCCATGAGAATGCATAGGTCAAATAAATGCATTTTGTTTGTTGTTGTTCTTCTTCTTTGTTTTTGTTTTGTTTTGGACTGTGTGTTTATTCATAGCTCCTTTATATTTTAGGTGGTCTAGAGTAAATATCCATAACAAAACATATGATACTTATCAGAATATTGTTTTGTAAATGCATGTGTTATATGGTTATATGGTTATATGGTTCTTCTTTTTGTGACGCAGTTGGACAATATGATATTGAATCAGTTTGTTTGTTTGTTTGTTTGTTGTTTTACGCCGCACTCAGTCATATTACAGCTATATGACGGCAGTCTGTAAATAATCGAGTCTGTACCAGACAATCCAGTAACTGATATCACGAGCATTTATCCATGCATCAACCAAGTCAGCGAGCCTAACCACCCGATCCTGTTAGTCGCCCCTAACGACAAGCATCTCGCCTTTTACGGCAAGCATGGGTAGCTGAAGACCCCGGATCTTCAGGAGTTTCTTGAATAAGTATATTTATGTTTTTCACTCGATTATTCCCATATTAATTTTACCAAGTTTACTTATCACACAGTTCTTCCCTCATCTGTAACGATCAACTGGTCGTGGATTCGTCGCATTCAAGATGATATCATAACAAAGGTTGAGAGTTGGGGAATCACCTCACTTAGCAGAGGTACCACTGTACACGACCAGCCCACACAACAACACCTAAGGGAATAAACAATCAGTTTATTTGACAGCCACAGAATGATTTGTGACTGTCTGCCGTCCGTATTTATACCTATACTAGCTACTACAGATAATATCATTTACTGATTTAACTGTCGATAAAGTTGTTTTTGTGAACTTTAGTAGCGCCATCTCGACATAAATATATCACTTAGTTTGACCGGAACATTGATGACAAGGGGCGGTCGAGTAGCCAAGTGGTTAAAGCGTCCGAAGACCCGGGTTCGATTCCCGACATGGGTACAATGTGTGAAGCCCATTGCTGGTGTCCCCCACCGTGATATTGCTGGAAAATTGCTAAAAGCGGCGGAAAACCATACTCACTCACTCATTGATGATAAAGGTGTTTATGAGGGAAGTTTAGTAAGAATAATAGCTTAAACGTTGCTAGTATGCCATGAATATATACGTGGAACGCGTGATTTGATAAGGGTGGATGGCAAATAGCTGTGGATACAGATAAAGGTATTAACGCCTTATATGTGTTTGCCTAACTCTATCTGACCAGCACAGGATCTTGGTCCCGGATTATGTCCGATACTATTGATTTGACCCATGGCAGGGTATAAATACTTAAACATGGTCTGTTAGTTTCTAATTTTCCCTATTTTTAATCCTTAATATATGGCATTTAACATGAAATATTTGTGAAACTTTGTCAATTTTCCCCAAGTTAATAAGTAGATAGTAAGCCGAGACATGATTGAGATGCAGTTCAAAGAGACCGAATTCTCTCTTGGGGCAGTTTACATAACTGTGGGCAATAATCAATATTGTATGCTGATTCTGGTCATGTCCTCTCTCTGTCGCCTAGGCAAAAGTGCATTATTAGTATTTCATCCAAATTATTTTCTGAAGTGACCCGGAGGTATACAGTTCTCAATTGATCGTCTTGTTTTGACAGACCATGTGGATGGGCCTGCTTCTCTTTGGCTTTAGGTAGTATTTCATTCGTGTCACAGCGAGTTAATTTAAGTGGGAAGGAAAATCCAAATTGAGGGAGTTCGCAGGCATTGAACATAAGTACATTGGTTGAGCTTCGAGCACAATGTCACACTCCACCAAACCTTTTCCAATAGACGTCTATAGTAATGTTATATCTTTTTTGAATAACTAGGCATTCAACAGCCATTACATGTACATGTTTGCACAGCCTGGCGTCAAATCTGTAATACAATCATACATTCTGGCCAGCGCAGTCAGCTCTATTTCCGCGTACAGGATGCAAATCACACCGTCCCCTGTTCTGCACCAAATGCCACCTGCTTGCCAATACCTGTAGTCACATTCGGAATAAATCATCATATTTAAAAAGACAACGCTAAATATTGAAAAACAGGTCTAGGTTTAGTTACTGGATAGATGTATATTTAAAAAAATATATATTTTCCCCAATAATTATCATCCAATCAGAGCAGGCGAAATTCTCACTGAACACTAAACCTTTGCGGCTGGCCGAACAACTGATTCTGATTTGGTGGAGTGGAACAAAGGTCATAATCAGGGGCAACTAAGGGACGCGGCTCTGCAGAACTAATTACGGCGCCTGAAACCATTTAACTACTAGTGTCCTCTTTCTGAAAAAGTGGAAGTCAATCTCAGTGAGGACGAAGGGGATGTTTTCGCAGCTGACGTTCGTTAATGCATGCATGAACAAAGAAATATACATGTTTTTGATAAACATAAAGACAATATCCGTCAATATCCATATAGATTAATAATATCCAATCCAATTTTCAGCCAGTTGAATATAGAAACGTGTTCGATTTGACTTCTGGTTGTAAACAATCAGTTGTTAAAAAGGGATATAATGATTTAAGTTCGTTTTGGATGTTTGGGAGCATTTATGGATGTGAGTTGTTACCAGCCTTATACGGTGAAGAACTTGGTAGAAATGGTAGAATTTACTTTGCTCGCCAATAACAAGGGTTTGATCAAAGACATCCAACCGATTCGTCTATTTCTAACTTAGGAATATGGTCAATGAATGGCTACATAAATAAATGTTAATTACAATTATTAGGAAGGCTCTCTAATAACGATTGTAACTCAATAACAGAGAATCAATGTTGTCTTCGCATTGCTACAAACGTTATCGTCAATATTTAGTCGTCCAGTTAGCATTTGCAGCATCCTTCTATATATTGCTAAAGAGTATCATTTAGATAACTATATCAAAGATTATACTGATAGTGATTCATTCCCAACTAAAGCCGCTTGGCGAGCTCTTGTAATCAGACGTCTGTTAGAGAAGGAACAAAGCATTTAGAGAGATAGAATAGCACAGAAGCCAGATCTTTCACGGAACCATAAAATTCATACACGGTTACAAATGCATGTTCTTTATAATGTACTGCATCTCTATCCACATTTAAGACATCTTCCCGAGGCAAGAGAGTTAACTGACTTTAAAAGTCCAGTTTCCTACCTTGCCGAACTAGGCTGGAATTACTGGGCTCGATCGTAGCTCCACCAGAGGCTATTACCAGTTATGTCCATTCTAAGCCTCTCCTATGGACCAATTAGATTTCACCTCTCGCATCACTTGCGTTTGCTTCACACAAAATGGTGGCGCCGAGTCAGGACGATCTGATTGATAATCAAGATCTATATTGTGATAAAACGGGTCTTACATCGCGAAATGCATCAAATTACGTGAACACAATGATTAAAAACATGAAAAGATGTGGAAAATATCTGCCGACGACGAGTTGGTGGTGCAGATGCTTTGCAATTCCTGCAATCGACCGAAATCTGCACGACAGTTTACGAACCGGATTTCGATTTCGGTGCGCGATTTTGATTGGACTATGCATAGACTCGTTAGTCCAGCCAAACTGTAACTCCATAATACCAGCCTAGTTCGGCAAGGGTGGAAACTGGACTTTTATAGTCAGTTAACTCTCTTGCCTCGGGAAGATGCATTTAAGACAACCCCTGCAACTTTGTAGTAAAATTGTATCAAGAACAAAAGTGTGTCGAAAGAATGTAACCATCGTAAGAGACACTGTGATTTTTGTAATGTCTGACAAAAATAACTTCTTTTCATGTCTGATTGATGAACTTGGTGTTGATATATAAGTGAAAATAGATATGCTTGATGACATGTACATGTCATAAATAGGAACTTCGCTCCACGAGATAAAAATGTATATACACACATTAACAATGGTTAATCAATAAACGTAGGAGGGCTGATCAAAAAGTTCTAAGCCTGACTTATTTTCAACTTTGAGCTTCATTGCAAGTGTATTTGGTCTGCTGAGGCCGTTTATATAGTAGTAGCAGCCAGTTGAACGTGATAGGGGTCCAATGGACACAGGAGTGGAAAAGAACGAGTACGGAGCAGTTTTTTACTTTAGGGAAAAGTACTCCCCAAGAAATGCATGACCGCATGTCACGGGTTAATGGGGATAAGCGCCCTAGCTATTCTACTGTTAAACGTTTGGTGGCTGTGTTTAAGGCTGGGAAAACAAGCCTTGACGATGACCCTAGGTCTGGACGTCCCTCAACTTCCATCAATAAAGATTCAATCAAAGAGATGTATTTACTGTCAGATTGACGTATTACCATTGCTGAACATGAGGAAGACATGGGTCTAAGCCATTATTCATGAACATTTACAGATGAACAAGATATCTGCTCGTTGGGTGCGAAAGTTTCTAATTTTTTATCTAAAGGAAATAAGAACTGACACTGCCAGAAAAAAATGAAGCTAATTGAGCAAGATTTCGTCAAATTCAAACGGGTGATGAAATATGGGTCTACCACTATGATCTCGAGTCAAAACGTAGCCGGAGTTCTACTATTTCATGACGATACCTCTTCTCACACCTCTCGACTTGCAAAGGCTGCTGTGCGACAATGTGGGTTCGAAGAGCTTCCTCACCCTCTGTACTCGCCAGACCTGGCACCAAGTGATTTCCTAATGTTTCCTAAACTGAAAGAACACCTTCGTGGAAAGCGTTATGACGACAACGATGACCTCAAAGCTGCCGTGAATGGGTTTTTCAGGGTGGCTTCAGAAAACTTCTTCCTGACTGGAATTGAAAAACTTCACCATCGATATGAGAAGTGTATTGAAAAGCGGGGAGATTATGTTGAAAAATAAAATTAAAAACACTTTCACAATTGTTGGTTTTTTTGGTTAGGCTTAGGACTTTTTGACCAGCCCTCGTATTATCGGTCAATCCTTTGACACGTCATGTAGGAGCACACGTGTGTCCCATCTCCGTCATAATAACTACGTACAGAAACAAACAATATACTTGTAATGTTGGTTGTTGTTGTTGTTGAAATCGCGATAGACAAATAAACTG